AATGGTAAATGCAACTATTAAAAAAATCAAAAGAAACACAGTAAATAGAGGTAGGAATAAGACAAAAGAGATAAGAAAGAAGTAACAAAAGATAAAAAGAAGTGAAAAGAAGAATGATAGTAGACAAAGGGAAGTTTACAAAGGACAGAAATAGAATAATAAAGAGATTTAAAGAAAGTCAGAGAAACGACAAAAACCAGTGAACATGTAAAGCGAGAAAACAAAATAAAATCTGTTAGAAAAAAAACCCGATGACAACGGAGAAGGAAAAGAGAAAAATGTGAAGTTAAAAAAGTGAAAAATTGAGACAAACGGTTTGTTTGTTTGTTTATGTTTAACGGCCAATAGACAGCTGTGGTCATATAGGGCAATGGTGATTTATTTATTTATCTTATTTTTTTAACAAACATGTGAGTAGCGAAGATAAAATCAGATAAAATAGTTCATTTAAAAAGCATTCGCATTGTATGTGTAGATAATATAAAATAAAAAAGGGGGTTAAAATAATAAAAGAGATAACGAATAAATAATATGGAATATGTGATATATATATAACGTCAAAAAGGGTAAGGTGGTTTAAAAGACATCAGAGTCTATAAAATAGACCGATGTGTTTAAAATCGGAACATTCTATTAAAAAATGTTCCACTGTAAATGGAGTGTCACATGCGTGGCATGAAGGTAGATCTTCTCGTTTTAAAAGGTACGAATGAGTAGGATATGTGTGCCCAGTACTGAGCCGAGCGAGGACAACTTCCTCTCTACGATCTTTCCGACTGGGAATAGATGTTTTAAGTTTCGGTTGTATCTTAAAAAGTTTGTTGGTGGTCTCGAGAGACCAGCGTTGCTGCCATTCATTTTGAATGGCTGTACGAATAGTAGGTTTAAAATCTGTGTATGGTAGTTTGATATTTGTTTGTTCGAGATTCAATGCATTTTTTGCTTCCCTGTCAGCAAATTCGTTGCCTTTTATTCCGACATGGCTCGGAATCCATAGTAAAGTTATTTTAGACTTTTTTAATATACGAGATATTCGAAGAGCAAGGTTTTGTACGATTGTGTTTTTAGGATCTCGTAACTGTAAACTCTGTAGGACAGATAGAGAGTCTGAACAAATAATTGCCTTTTTAATGCGGTGTTCATCGATATGGTCGAGGGCCAAACCAATGGCGCATGCTTCAGCAGAAAAGATGGAGGCGCCGTCTGGTAGTCGGACTGAAGTGCAAGTATTGGCAGTACAGCAGGCTGCTGCCACTTTCTCACCTTCTTTGGAGCCATCGGTGTAAAGTTGTGTATGAGAAGGGTAATTCGAAATGCATTCCCGAAAGGAGGATTTGTGTTCTTCGGGCATAACACTTGATTTCCCTCGCTCATGTAATGTAAAGTTAAAATCGGGGGTTTGAATGGTCCACGGAGGAACATCAGATATGTTAAATTCAGCTATGTCCGTCAATTTTATGTTGAGTTCTTGCAGGAAATTCAAAATTCGGATACCAAATGTTGGCAGAAGTTTTTGGTTTTGCGTAAATATGTTTTGGTATTTGGGGTTGAATACTTGGTTGAAAGCAGGATTTTTAGGGTTTGATTTTAATTGAGTTGCAAATTGTAATGAAAGTTTTATTCTTCTGTCATAAAGGGATGGTTCATTTGCTTCCACGTACAGGCTTTTTACAGGTGTTGTTCGAAAAGCTCCCAGGGCAAGACGTAGCCCTTGGTTATGGATTGGATCTAGCATCTGAAGGTACGAACTGCGCGCTGACCCGTATACCATAGAACCATAATCCAGTTTTGTTCGAATAAGTGATCTGTATAGGCGCAAAAGCATTTCACGATCCGCTCCCCAATCAGTATGAGAAAGGACTCGTATAATGTTTAACGCCTTGGAACACTTATCCTTCAGATACTTTATATGTGGTATGAAAGAGAGTTTCGAATCAAAAATGAGGCCGAGAAATTTAGTCTGTTCAACAACAGGAATTCTAGTGCCATCGAGTGTTAGATTTGGGTCATTGTGTGCTTTTCGTTTTTGACAGAAATGCATGCACACAGTTTTGGATTTAGAGAATTTGAAGCCGTTTTCGTCTGCCCAATTTTGTAGTTTGTTTAAACTCTGTTGAAGTTGTCGTTCTATCGTGTGCATGTTCTTAGATCTGTAACAGATCAAGAAGTCATCCACAAATAGCGACCCTTCTGTTGATTGACCAAGACATTTGACTATATCATTTATTTTAAGTCCAAACAGTGTGACTGATAGGATTCCACCCTGTGGGACTCCCATTTCCTGTTTAGACGTTTCAGAAAAAGTTGAACCAACACGGACTTTGAAGTGTCTATCTGATAGGTAATTAGATATAAAATTGGGAAGGTTTCCACGTACGCCAAGGTCGTGAAGATCTTTCATGATGCCATACTGCCATGTAGTATCATAGGCCTTCTCAAGATCGAAGAACACAGCGACAAGGTGTTCTTTCTTGGCGAAAGCCTCTCGAATGAACGTCTCTAATCTGATGAGATGGTCATTTGTCCCTCTTCTATTTCTAAAGCCACTTTGAAGAGGGGATATTATATCGTTGGCCTCAAGAAACCAAACCAGTCTAGTGTTTATCATTCGTTCTAAAGTTTTACATACACAACTAGTCAGAGAGATAGGACGATAGTTGTTTGGGTCAGTAGCATCCTTTCCCGGTTTTGGGATAGGTATAATTGTGGAGTTCTTCCACGAATCGGGAATCTTTCCGGAAGCGTAAACTTGGTTGAATATGTAAAGAAGGCATGTTAGTGACGAGTCCGGTAAGTGCTTTAGAAATTGATATGGAATATCATCAGGACCTGAAGCAGTGTCCTGTGATTTTCTAAGCGAATCAACAAGTTCTGGTAGGGTAAATTGTTCATTATAACTTTCTTTGTTTGATGATTTGAAATTGAGCCGTTTCTTTTCTCTCTTTTTTTTTAAAGACTGGAATTTTTGGGAGTGGTTTAAAGGGGATGAGTTTTTAGCTATGTTTTTTGCAAATGCATCAGCAATTTCAGTCATAGACGAGAAAATTTTGTTTTTATTAATGAGGTGGGAGGATGTTGCCTTTTTCTTTTTCCCACTTATTTTCCGAATCATATCCCATACTTTTTTTGAGGACGTGTTTGATGATATCTTGGATACATATTCTCTCCAGCTGTTTCTTTTGTCAATTTTAATTGATCGCCGAGCCTTTGCCCGCCAAATTTTAAATTCACTGTAGTTTGAAGCAGTTGGGCAATTGAAGTAGCGTCTTAGAGCAGCTGCCCGATTACTGCGTGTTTTAAAAGATTCTTCAGATAAAAGGAACTTCGTAGGTTTTGGAGCGGATTTTGGAATTGTCTTTTGGGCAATAGAAGTGAGTGTTTCAGTAAAAGTTTTGATAGGGTCGTCGAGGTTAGTAAAATTGTCTATGGTTAGTTTTTCAATGCACATGTGTTGGAATTGGACCCAATCTGCTTTGTGCATATTTCAACGAGGTAGAGGATCATCAAGAGGAGTCCCAATATTCTTAAGAAAAATTGGGAAGTGGTCACTCCCACAAAGATCATCATTTACCCTCCAGTCATAATCAAGTAGAATGGATGGATGGCATAATGATAGATCAATGTGGGTACGAGAGCCTGTAGCAGGGTGTAAATAGGTAGGGGTATTGTTGTTAAAAAGGCACAAGTTGTTTTTAATTACAAATTCCTCAATACGTCTTCCTCTCACGTCTGTGTTGGGAGAGCCCCACAGGCTCTCATGACCATTAAAATCACCGAGGATTATAAATGGTGTTGGAAGCTGGGAGACGATGTTATTGAGTTGCTCACAAGTGAAAACAATATTCAGAGGGAGATAAATTGAACTGACGGTTATTTGTCTGTGTAATATTGCACAGACAGCAACAGCCTGTAAATTTGTGTTTAATTTGATAATTCTGTGAGGAATTTTTTTATGGACAGCTACCGCTGCGCCACCTGCTGCTCTGCTAGCTACAGTTGGAATGTTAGTGTAGAGTGATAAATTTCTAAGCGTGATTGGGTTTTAGAGCATTATTTCTTGTAGACAAAAAATAGCGGTTCTAAATTCTTGATTCTAGATTCTGAAATTCTATATATGCCTGTAATCCGCGGATGTTCCATTTGATAATTGTATTATTTATATTTTGCTATTTTGGCTGGATTTCGATGGAGTCGGAGCACGAAGCGCTGAGGCAATCGTCTCCATCTCATCATCGAAACCTAGTAGGACATTGAACCGGTTTGTCGGGTCCTCTGATCCTTTGCCAAAGGTGACATTCAGTTCGGGTCCATCAGATTTGCCCCTCGCTATTATTTTTTCTTTTTCTTAGGTCTGTTGGTTGGTGATGTTGCCTCTGACCTCAGTTGGGATCGAGGAACAGATGTAAGTGAGCGAGATCGTTGCGACCACATCTGTGCCTTAGATGGGCCAACCTTTGGAGGGTTTTCTCCTGAAGAGGAAGGTGTTTTTGATGGTGGTGCTGGTTTTGATGGTGGTGCTGGTTTTGATGAAGATGCTTTTTTTGATGGTGATGCTGATTTTGACAGTTTGTTTGGTTTGGTTGGTTTGGTTAAAGTCGTGAATCGGGATGGGTCTCCCGTGAGGATTTTCAAGTTCTGTTGACCAGCCATGTCTGGGACTTGTGAGCCCCAGGCAGGTATGTCTTCAGACGCTTGAACAGAAGCATCCTTGACTGCGACATTGTCAACCGGCGACCGGACTTTCGTCACTTGTGCATATGAGGGAGCAGCCACGTCCGTGCTCTCCATTATCCTCCTAGCCTCGGGAAAGGAGACATTTCGGGTATATTTGACCCGCAATATCTCTCTCTCTCTTTCGATTCCAGGCAGGACAGTCTCGAGACGTAGCAGCATGCTTTCCCTCACAGTTGACACAACGCAGGTTGGCAATATCACAGTCGCTTTGTTCCTCATGACCTTCACGACCACAATACTGGCAAACGGTCTTCCGCCTACATCTTTTAAGGATGCCCGTACTTCTGGCAATTACGGCATCTTAGTGGATTAGGGATGTAGACGGAGACACTGCACCTTTGGTAACCAATCACTACGGCCGAAGGCAGTGATGGGGTAGCAAAGGTCAGTACAAACGTGTCTGTTGGAACCAACTTATTGTTTTTCTTGGACAAAATCCGTCGTACCTCAGAGACTGTGATCTCCTCCTCCTGGAAGTACTCCAGTATGGCGGCATCAGCGTCATTGCGCAGGGCGGGGCATCTGATTACCCCCTTGCTGCTGTTTAGTGATGGGTGTGGTTTCACTATAACACTGATACCTCCAAAACTTGTGGTACCCAGTAGGTTAATCGCCTGTTGTTTGCGAAAAACTTCGATTAGTAGATCGCCAGATCCCAAAGGTTTGACGGACTTTACGTCCCCAGCTATTCCTTTTATACCCTTCCTTAACAGAAGAGGAGACAATGTTGCTGCAGTTTTTCCACTAGTGGTTGACGACATGATGATGAATTGTGGGAATGTGGTAGTTGTAGGGTTTTTTCTGTGTTTTTTTCATTACCCATGTATGTTTATTAATTAGTTCACTGTCTGTGTCCCCGCCCACCCCGGAGCCAAACGAGGGGACACTAATATCAGCTCGGATATCCAGCGCCAAAGTGTCAGGGATACACAAAGTAGTATACTCGTAAAAGTATACATAACGAGTATATATATTACCCGGAAGAGCATACTCTCGCGATTGACCCTAAGCCACCGCCTTCTTTGAAGTATGTAAACCAAGGGCTCGGCGTGACCAGCCGATTGGTGATAGAGAGCCCATACCACCTCTCGACTACCCAGAGTTCTAAGCCAAAGTAGTATGTTGCAGAAAGTCGGAACATGTCTCCCTCCAAACCAGAGTTCATCAGTGATTCCGACCCCTGCTTAACCACCAGGATCTTCTTCCCCTAGGAATACGAGACGCATCCCACGGCAAACAGGTTAGCTCAAATTGGAGCTACTGTGAAAGCCTTCTGCTACATTGACGCTCAGAGCGCGACAATAGGTACCAAAAGAAGTAAACAGTGGAGACCAAAAGAAGTTAACAGTGGAGACCAAAAGAAGTAAACAGTGGAGACCAAAAGAAATTAACAGTGGAGACCAAAAGAAGTTAACAGTGGAGACCAAAAGAAGTAAACAGTGGAGACCAAAAGAAGTAAACAGTGGTGACCAAAAGAAGTTAACAGTGGAAACCAAAAGAAGTTAACAGTGGAGACCAAACAAAAGAAGTAAACAATGGAGACCAAACAAAAGAAGTAAACAGTGGAGACCAAAAGAAGTAAACAGTGGAGACCAAAAGAAGTAAACAGTGGAGACCAAGAGAAGTAAACAGTGGAGACCAAAAGAAGTAAACAGTGGAGACCAAAAGAAGTAAACAGTGGAGACCAAGAGAAGTAAACAATGGAGACCAAAAGAAGTAAACAGTGGAGACCAAAAGAAGTAAACATGAGAAGAAAAAGAACAAACTGATATTCAGGGAAGTAAAAGGGGCACACAAATTAAAGTTAAGTAAAAATAAGACAAAAGGCGCAAAAAAATGGTAAAAGTTAACAGAGGCTGATAAGTAGCCGAGGCAGAAAGCAGAGGAGGAAATTGGGAAAGAACTATTGATTCAGACACCGATGAACTAGGAGTAGGTGTTCTAAGGGCATGTCGTCGGATTTCATTACACAATTATCATGATTACCTTGTATCAATAAAATGAAGAAGTAAAATGTTGATAAAAGCACAGGCATATACTGCTTTTTATGTTAGAAAGAGATAATAGGAATAGGATTCTGCTTTCGGTTTAACACTGTTAAAAAATTCAATTGATCGAATACTAATGTGTTGTTGATATATACGATTTCGTAGTAATGTATATCTGTGAACATGACTCGTTTACAGCCCATATTTATTATAAAACCGTAATAGCTTTTGGGTCTATAGTATAATTATATTAACTTAATTTCTGTCTAACATAGTCCTACCATATACAATAATCGTACATTCGAATACCCAATAGATAAGATGTAACAGAATGAGTGATACTGTATAGTATCGAGAATTTGTATATCTTATTGTTTTATTGAAAATTGGAACAAATTAAATATACATGCGTGCATATCCATTTAACAAACTGGTAAACATAAAGGAGTCATTAACGCAAACAGAATACGATTTATCAAGATAAACCACATAGTGTATTTCTTACATCCAACAAAAGTATATAACGATACAAATATAAAGTAACCGCACGTTGTAATCAACTTTTGATTCAAGAATAAGCACATTATATTATCGTTATAGAAAACTTTGACCGAATGTTAGAAACAACGATTTTCAATAATATCTCAAGATCCATGTTATGAGACGAATACAATCAATACAACCCAACGTCAGAGTCTTCAGGACACTGATCGAAAGACTTCTGGTCCCATTTCTGTCCTTTGTGATATCTGATGTGGTCCCAAAGGCCACCTTAAACCTGCATAACTTTATTTTAACGGTACAAAAATCAATCTATGCTACAAGCAGAATCTACGCGTAAGGTGGCAGTTGTCTTGTATTTCATTTCAGACTTACCTTAAATTTCGATTATAAGATCAATAGATGAAAATTGAATTATCGATCAATGGGCCAGGGGTGAGACGCCATTGTTATAAAGACCACTACGGATTGCACTGACTACGATTAAATTCCGAGCCGATTGTTTAAAACCAATGGTTTTCATCAATATCTCAAGGTTGCGGTACATGTAAGCCTATAAAGAACTTCCGTATCTGATTTATTTAAATTTTTGGATGAATAGTTCTATGCTTTTCACGAGGATTACTTAGCAACAGTGAATTAACGGAAACCATTCGCCCGATAACTATTATTGCCCAGAAACAATGAATGATCTGTTTATAACGATCTTCTTTTTATGTTTGTCCTAAGTTCATATTTCAAGATACAAGGTGGAAGCTTCTGATGGAGGATTTCTTAGTCCCCGAGGTTAGTTCTAACTTTGATGACCAGATTTATCACTTTTGTGTAGTGGCACGATCCATTGTATACACACTTTACTAATTTGAAATTAACCGTTAACTTTTGAAATTAACCGTTAACTTTTGAAATTCATATAATTAAGGGGTGTGTCTTACGGACATCTTAAAAAGACATGTGCTTTCATGTCCATCTCCGGCAAATAAATGTTGACACAAGATATATACTTTTGATTTAAGTGTAATTAAGAGAAAGTGTTGTGAATTTTTTTTTCTAAAAATGGAACTTTTTATGATATTTTTAACATTAATTTTTTACTATTTTAGTTCCTTTAAAATTCCCCAGTTGAATTCCACGCGAGCGAGTGTGGCAGAATACCTATATTGTACGTGTGTAATTAACGATATATTATTCGACACGTGTGTAATTATCGATATTTTATTCGACACGAGTGTAATTATCGATATATTATTCGACACGAGTGTAATTATCGATATATTATTCGACACGAGTGTAATTATCGATATATTATTCGACACGAGTGAAATATATATGAATAAATATTAATTGACGAAAATTATTTTTTATCATATCTGGCGCCAGATTCTATGACTGTAACTCAGCGGCTACTCAGTGCATTTTTACTGTTAGTTGGTAATTTCTTGTAAGATTTCCTTACAAATAGCATATCTTTTATGTGGTTCCGTAAATACTTTGATGTATTTACTGAACGATATAACGTAACGTCAAGATTACTCTCGCGGGCAAATAACGTCGATCACACTACAAGTTTTTGTTGAAAACTGGACAAACCGATAAACATTAATTTGATAACCCATAACAACTAAAGAAAAGAAATAACAAAGTTTGTAACTTTTATGCACTTTTCTACATTAGATTGCATGTTACTCCTTATATATAATGAATGAAAACATTAATGGTGTGTTAAGTATTGAAAGCAGAAATTCGTGTTTTGATAGTAATCAGATGTTGGTTTTTGGTGTTCTTGATTAGCAATATCTCTTGAACTATAGAATTTTATCAACAAACCTATTAATTGTGTTCTTACATCTTGCAAACAAACTACGTTTTATATACACAAACTGTGTTGTCGGTTCATATTCTTGTGACGTTTGTATTTTGTTATTATTTAAATAAAACAATACTGCCATCTTTTACGTTGTATAAGTCCCTTTTAATCCTTACCATTAACTGTTTTGGTAAGCTACATTAATTATCTCCGACAGTTTTCATTAACATTTACATCCAATGCAGTGTTTTATCCTTTGATAACTAAATGATGTATCTCCTATACTTAAGAAGACATCTAATAACATAACTGAGATATTTAAATTGGTTGTGAAAATATCTTATAAACAAAAGAGACACATTTATATCATTTAAATGTATATCTAGTCTTTATATATTTCGATTTCTTTGAGAGATATCTTTTTTACACATGAAATTATTTCAATTACTGAATTGTAGGGGATATTTTAAATTAATTTAAAGATCTCTTTATTATTTCTTTAAATAAAAAGTATCTCTATTTCTTTTAGAGAAATATCCTATTCATTTTAAGGTATTTTATGATTTTTTATGATATCTAGTTGAATCGAGATATCTTTATTTCATTTAAAGACATCTATGATAGTTTTGCGGCCACACCTTTGGTAGTAAATGTGAATTTAACTTGCTTGTCATATGTTTGTTAACAGTGGTAAAGACCCAATAAGTATTGCATTATATTGATACTGTTCTGTCTTACATTGACACTGGATCTATGATTGAGCTTATTCAAAAATGTGTCTTTCATGTTAATGTTACTCATTTATTTTCGGTTGATTAACACATTAATAAAGCCAAGTTAACGAACGACATGATGTCTCCACATGTAATGCTCAAACGTACGTGTAAATGTAACTACGTTTGTAGAATAGTACTTCAACGTCGTAGTTAGGTTAAGATGTGCGTGAGGTCATCGATCGTTATTCGATACATGATGCATTAGTACCTGTTTCAATCCAGTTGTCAGATACAATAATGTGAAATAGACCCAGTATTTATCCAACTTAGATATCATGTTATTTCAGCACGAATTAACATCTATACCCGGTAAATTGATACATCGAACTTAAGCATGTTAGTGACGGGGTACTTAATATACACTAACGTATATAGGACCAATAGTATTGATTGCTCTTAACTTAATGAAGGAGTGTTTTATCCGACGTCATTATTTATGCTTAAACCCTCCCATTTTACAAACATCAATACCAGGGAAACTGATACATCGAACTTTTGATCTACCAATGACGGGATTTCAGACAGCAGCGGTCCATTATACCTGCACCTAACACATAGATTCAAGAGTAGTGATAGCTTGAAGTTAAATGATTATTTCCTGACAGATGGAGTGGAAATCATATAATTGAAAAATGTGTCTTTAAAACCATCATGTAAATTGTATATATTAGGTGATACACATATATATCCTGACATGTACCTAGGCTGGAAACTACATATTTCGATACAGATTCACTGAAGGACTCGTGGCGGGGATTATATAACACACAATGGATTAGATATATATTCTCCTGGAACTGGTATAGTACAGGATCTAGTGTTAACACTAAGGAGTGAGGTACGTATTGAAAACAAGTCAAAAAGAGGTAAACATATTCACAAGAATGTCAATTATTGTCTTTCATTTATTAGTAAAATTGTTTTAGATATCTCCATGATATTTGATGTTTAAGAATAAGATATTTCTTGTGTTGTTATCAGATTACATCACCAGGCAGTTTATCTTTGTATCCAGATCACATTATAAAGATGTTAGCCTGATAAAGACACTGTATACTTCTATACAACAATATTGATATGCAATAATTCCATTTTACTTTTATCTCGTTTTGCTCGTTTTAAGTATCATCGGTTGGGCCCCAAAACACTGATTTCTGAATCTTATCCTTCACGGATGGTTCGTCGATGAAGCAGAAGACGCTTACCTTTCAAGAAAACTGATCTTATTCCCCTTGTGGTTTTTTTCCAGATTATTTTACAATTTTATTTTATAGAGGAAGGGATGATCCTCCATATTTTACATATACTTTTATAGTTCGGACATTGGCATAAGAATTTTGATAAAATAGTATATTGGTTAACACTATTTTGGTTTTACGAACACATTTTTGAAGATGATCATGTTACAACAATTTAAGAATATAAATAACAATACTTTAAGCCCAACATCAACTGCACTAGAACAAAATATGAAAGTTTTCACGAAGACTCTAGAAAAATAATACACAGGGAGAATAAGACCAGGTTGTCCGGGAGTGCTAGCGTCTTCTACTCCATCGATGACACCCGCTGCCGTGTAAATCCAGGTATACTCTAAGTAATGCCATATCCTTAAATCATGAACAGGGTTATTGACAATGAAACAAACAAGGCACACTAATAAGCGTAATCATTATATGGATCTTTGTACAACACAAAGAAATAACATATAACCCAATGTGATCATGATGGCGACCGGAACATGCCGATAGTCTTTGTCAACCTGCATCCCTGGAAACACAATGTTGTAGGGCTATCTGTCAGTAATCGGCAACAAAGGGACACGACGTACCGCGACGCCACATTCAATGGACTGTCTTTATGCCCTCCGCTCCATAAGACTGAAAACAAGCTCTAATTGCACATGAATCCAATTATTACGTCACGTGATCACTAGCACTAAGCATTGAAGTAATTTTGACATGTACTTTGTTAAATGTAAACTGTTATTTTTTTTAAGTATGTAGGATTTTGATTTGTTTGTCACTGATATGTCACTGATAATTTCTTATCGTTTGTCATCAGTTTGCTTGGAACACCAGAAAGGTCAGCAATTATTTATCAACTCAGTTAAACAGGAAAGACTAAAGTCTAAAATTTCATCGCCATTTTGGTGTATCAGTATCTATCCTCGCTCAGTATTCATTGATCGTTTTTCGATACATGGTTCGTTTGCGCCTGTTTCATCTCGTCTGTGAAATAAAATTATTTGATGTAAACTTACTATTGATTAAAATAAGTGTCGTGTCGTTTCAGTACGTGTTTATGCATGGCTCATTTATTGACAAAATGCAGCGAAGCGTGTAAAAACGGATATTGTTTAAGTGAATAACGCACTGTTTCCATTAAAGCCATGCTTAGGTAAGCGAACGATTAAAGTCCAGATCGCTACTAATTACCATACGCCGATACCAGCAAAATTGTAACATCGATCACAAAATATGCAAAGATGCAACGTAAAGCAATAGAGATCGAATATATCTTAATGCATATGAGGTCCTGATAACTTTCAACATTTTTTATAATTTTCATGTAAAATATAAACAATGTTATGGTTATTTTCCAGTATCAATGGAATTGACAACTTTTCAAAAAAGTTACAAGTGAAAGCCAAATCTCCTAAAATAATCATATAACTTTAGTTTAAAGTGGAGTTTCCCAAAAAACATGACGGTGGATTTTATATCAAGAAAACACCAAATACCAAATGATGGGTTTTGTTTCAAGCTAACTTACTATCCATTCGAATGTACTGGAAAGTGATTCCGCCTTAAAAAATTGTAAACCAGCAGAGTTTAAACTTTGGGGCATGGGAATCTCAGTTCTATTTTCTGTAATTGAATGTTGAGATTTTTGATAAAAAGAGGTTTTTGCTTGCCTAACTTATACCTAACATATATACTTTGTGACGGCTATATAGGAGCCTGCTCTTTCCCGAAAAGCCAGGGTGACACTTAACGTTGAAGGCTCTACTGCCACCAGACCTCCGTTAAACGGCCATTCTGAAAGCTGACTGTTGGTCGAGGAGTGAATAAAATAATGATTATTGTAATTATCCTAAATTTCAATATAAATACAACACAAATAAAGAAAATGTTTAACAATTTATTGTAGTTCTCACCCGCTGTCATTATCGCTGTATAACTCCAAACATATCTTCTGGTTTTGTTTCCTTTCTCTGTTAATGTTAAAAGTGATAGTTTCCATTGAAACTTGTCATCGATATCTAATTAAATTCCATTTGCGTAGGTTTGAACAATAACGAAAGGTCTATATTTAAGACCATACCAATAGGCTGACCATGAGATGTTGCAGTAAGATTGATGTTCTCAATAGCGTCTAATGCTTGTTCAATCGATCGGTTTCGGTGAAGTCCTTACAAAATGTGTGCATAAAATACATAGAATAGAATATAATACATATTTACATGTACCGTTTTTAATGCATTCCAACATGCCAATAACACCAAGGACCCGCCTTTACGTCAGATATATTTAACTTCCGAACCTGTCGCTGATGATTTGATCAACACCAATTTTAATGTAGATTTGTTCATTTTACATGTATAAATTATGATAATTCTAAATACTATATTTTTTATTATGTTTGCCACAGTATCTGTTCTAAGACTACAGAGAATGGTTGGTACCTGGTTACTGCTGCTGTCATACGTCATGCAGCTGATATGTGTAGTGACTACAAAAGGTGACCGCTTTACGTCACTGGCGATATTCGCTGGGCATGTCTGGTCAACAAACGTTATAACTTCCACTAGCATGGCATCTTTAACGCTGTGCGGTATGAAGTGTACCTCGGACGGATGTGCGTCATTCACCTATGACGTCACAGATGAATCATGTGTGACATATTCTACGTTAATGTGTGATACTACCGGTGCCACGGTCAAGGCTACAGCTCTCTACTTCTCCACAAAATTTCAAGGTAATCTCTTCTTTAAACAAATAACGCTTCCATAAGATTTGTTTAACCACAAGGATTTAGAATTAAGTAAATGTTTATGATAGCCGTTCTAATGAATGCGTTTTTTCTTTGAACAAATAAAGCGTTATGCTATTCTTTTCCAAAACTGAAGGAACCTTCTTATTTAAATTATTGTTTTCATGTAATTTCGTCCTTGCCATTGAAAGTTACATCGACTTATTTTCAATGTAATCTCTCCTTCAAACGTATACAGTTCCAAAGTAGCCACTTCTTTAAGCATGGCCTCCTATTCAAGAAATTATTACAATTTAGATCATTCTTTAAGCAAAGCTTACAATGTTGGCTATTTGTTCTTGTGAAGAATACATTATAACATGAAACTAGTTGTCAAATGCTAAAGACGGGTGATGTTCTCTTTACAAATATGAACAAATAGTTCATGAGGAACCGAGGCAAGTTATACTACAATGTTCAATTTCAACCATATACTTTTTAATGAATTTGTTCCATCTTTGACCAAGAGTGGAATATCAGAGACAAAAGTTCAGCAAGCACAAATAGCATTGAATGAACCAGTAGAGTGAGTGACCATCGTGTGTGTCGTTACAGATGGCTGTTTAGTAGCAGATCCTGCCGGTGACAAGAAAGTACAATTATCAACAGGTGTCTGTGTCCAGTTACTGTGTGATACCAACGGCTATACAGTAGGTACAGCCACGGGCACTTGCTTTTCGACAGATATACGGGGAAAGACCCTGGAAATAAACAAGGACACGTATAGGTATTTTTCTGAATTTTAGCTTTAATTTCATAAATGCGCGACAGACGGATGGCCTCCTTACAGCTAAAACTCTCGCTAGAAGCATATCAAGCAAGGCAATGGTGATTTTTAACAGCACTAAATACCATTACGTCACTATGTTTAATTAACTGCATTTCACGGAAGTGAAACTTCACTTATTTGTTGGTTTTAACGAATCGCATTGCCACAAGTTTCATGGCCTACTTTTCAGTAAGTATTAATCAACCATATGTTAAAGTTCATAAATTCTTGTAGATAAAGCCATCACTGTTTATTTGATAAATATGACATGCCGCATTCTGAACGATCACGGATATATTGACATGTTATTTTTCTGTCAGAGCAATTCCTATTTTTTTTATTTGCTTTGATTTATTGATTAATCGCGCTGCATTAAATACAATTGTAAATAACGTTATGAGAAGTTCGCCATGCTTGATTAACTACAAGCAAAGTTCAGTATCACCATGAGTTACAAATGTATATTTCTAAACTGTATCAGTACAAACAGTCATGTTGATTGTGGTCCAAGCGTTGCAACATCATTACATTATCACCTGGTAATTAACCAAAGAATGGTTGCTTTTTTGGCAAGAAATGATTTATGTCTCAAACACACACTTTAATGTAACTTGATATTTTCAACCATTTTAACAAAACATAATCATGAACGTCTTAAATATTAAAGCTAACGCATGCCGTCAGCTGTCATTAGTGTACACGGCTGGTTAGCCCATGCACCAAACGCATCCGTCGAGAGGGTTTGCAATGTCAGACGGGTAAAACGTTTGATTTATGTTAAAGTCGGAGAGATCGGGAGAAAAAATTAAAACTACAAGTTGAAGATGTCTGTTCAGGAAGTAAGAGCATGTAATTTCTGATTTTCAGTAATTGGCAAAGGCTAAACAGCAGAAATGCAAAGGTAGTTGACATGTGGAAACCCGGAATTTGAAGCTTTTAAAGAAACTGGACTGGAATATATAGAGGATATTTAATGTTGTCTTCAGTAATAACAAATATATCTAACGAGTATGGCTAATATTTTGATATTTTTCACGAGTGCGCACTCGTGAAAAATATCAAAATATTAGCCATACGAACAATATATTTGTTATTGCTGAAGACATCATTAAATTTTCTATTTATTACATTTAAAAAAAAACCATGAGAAATGTAATGCATTAAAAAAAGGCGTAAATCAGAAGCGTAATACTTAGCGCCATATTATAATGACGTTACGCTTGACAACAAGGCTGCGCGCCATTTTGAATGGAATACTCAACGTTTTCTGTTATTTTCTGGTATGATTGCTTATAAAAATGTTATTAATTGTCTATTTATGTAGATACTTAGGTGTGTGTACCAAATATTTACCACAACAACCACGTATTCTACCGTCGCTTCGTTTTAATCTGAACAAAAAAATCGTTGCCTTTGAATGCAGCGAATAGAAAATACCGTTATGATTGGTCAATACCAAAACGTGGTTTTTCACTCTGTGAAAATATCACTTTTGATGTTTGTCACAATGTGAAAGATGATAGAATCCGATATATCACTGGCAAAAATGTAATAAGTATTTTTTCGTGTGATCTTAGTGGCCAATCAACATACACCGGGGTGTAATCAGTGTCAATGTGTTCAAAGGACTGGTGCTGTGAACCAGTGAGGATTGAAAATACGTTATGACAATTGTGTGATGTGTTTTAGAAGATTGGTTCAATATCTAGTCAATAATTAAGACGAAAAGACTACAAGGGAAGGACAACCATCTATTGGTGGTTTGTTAAAGCAAGGGGAAAGACTTGCATCCCAGCTTTGTCCAACTCAAGAAAACTAGTCAAGGCAAAAAAAAAAAAATTGGCTTGGATTTAGCGAAATGCAAGCGTCGCTTCTACGGAATGTGGACAGTTTCTTTTAATCTACTGATGCTACTCATATCATTGTGATCGAGCTGACACTACCCAGGAAAAAGTGTTGTGATGTGGCGAGGCGAATGAAAGAAAGAGGAAACCCTGAGGCAGGCAGGATTGGCTTTCCCAAGTAGATGATATACCCAGCTATTTCCCAGCATAAGATTTGAAATCTGACATGGTTCTGAAGGCCATGAAAGCAGCAAAACGAAAATCTACCAAAGGCTTCAGAGAAACCACATTGCTGGATGTAGAGAAAGCGGGGGGTTAGATACTGGGATTCATCTACCAAAGCGGTCTGATAGCCATTGTCGACCTACAAAGTTCAGGGACCTACCAGGCTGAAGACGTTTCTAAATCAGCAATATTACCACTCATCAGTAATGGGGTTTATAAACAGGTCGTTAGTTAAACAATAAGACATCTTTTAAACTATTAGGTGCACTGTTTCCAGATATGTTTACGTGTAATTCTTAACACCAAGTCAAATCACAATAGTATGAAAGGCACCACAATAATGCACATAGTATGAAAAGAAAAACTAAACCAAGATATTTCAAACAGACGAAAAACATTTTTGAATTGGATTTGTTAAAGTCAAGATCATAAAATATATATTTTTATGTTGATAAGGTGTCTCAAAAAAGGTTTGATGGAAGCGAGAATTTTAACCGAACTTGGTTGGAATACAAGAATGGGTTTGGTGACGTCAGCGGTGAACTTTGGATGGGTAAGGGCTATTATGGATCATGCTTTATAAATTGGTAGTTAGTAGACTTCGAACTAGACTTTGCCAACCCCCCACCTTACCTATTTGGGGAACTTTGTACATCATAGCTAAGTTCAAGTATTGACAAGTTAGCTGTTTAAATGACCAAAAATAAAGTACTCTCAATGCATAACTCAGATTGTCAAAATTTGCTTTTTAATGTGGGATAGGGGTATGTCCTAAACAATTATAAAGATCAGAAGAGTATTAAAATATCGCTATATAACTCGGTTGTTCATTACAGGAAACGACCTGTTGCATTTCTTAACGAATGTACGGCCACGGCAGCTGAGGATTGAGATGGAAAACTGGTTCGGAGAACAAAAATACGCCGAGTACACCGTGTTCTCCGTAGCGAACGAGGCCGATAACTACAGATTGACGCTCTCGGGATTCTCCGGCGATGTCTGTAAGGAGTTTTGTTTTTTTTGTTAATGTTGTCTATAACTTTAAACTTTTCGTTATTGTTTCTCCAATTATAAAGACTTTGTCAGCTGAATTTGTTTTGCTGATATCGAATATAAAATAACGAGTCATTCAGTTTAAAGTTTTGGAGTTAAGCTGTCTTTTAAGAATTATAAGAGAATATATATATGAACATTCTGACAGTAGATGAATTCTTACATGAATCACCGTTTCATTTGTTTTAACAGTGGACATGTTTTCGGGAATGCATAATGGTCAAGTGTTCAGTACAGTGGACATGGACAACGACGCTTGGGTGAATGGTGCATGTGCGGAGCCTGCGTCCAGCGGCTGGTGGTATAAACTGTGCTACACATGTAACCTGAATGGCCTGTACATAGAGGACTTAGGTGTGGACGAGTCAAACTCGCTTGTCTGGTTCTACTTTACACCTGGCCTCCTCGCTAGACCTCTAAAGAAGTCTAAAATGATGTTCAAATAATTGAACTGGCTTCAATAATGGGTTGTTTGTGAGCCAAATGATAGCAAAACATACATCTATTTTATTGATTTACTTAAGAACAAACTATTTTGTTGGAAAAGATTGTCAACGAAAAGGCTCGCCAGTTGCTGTTGGAAATATTTGACGCCATGTTTGTTGGTCCCAACCGATTTATTGCTGCTACTGATTGAGATTCTTCTTCGGTGAAACATTATCAGGTTGGCCTTCGCTTCAAATGAACCTACAGATTCATCGGCAGACTCCTTTTTTGCATTTTCCCCATATGTTTTGTCTGTGTTTTGAAAAGTTAAAAGACCATTTTGTCATTTCACATTGCAGTGACAGATATGACACGTGTGGACACTGTCTGTAGTTAATATTGTCTAAAGTATATATCTCACAGTTGATTTACTGTATTCGGAGGCTTATCTTGATATTAGGGGTTTTGTGCACATAATTTTTTCTAAGGCACAGAATTTCGAAGCTGTAGTCTTCTTTGAAGACGTCATAATGACCCGATTTTACTTGATATTTCATTATCTACCATGATTACAGAGATATTCACTATGTCGTAAGATCGTGGGTGGATCAGATTGGTACCAAGCAGTACTCTTTACCTGATTTGACGGGAGATCTCCTGACGGGTGCCACATTGTTATGTTTTGTTTTTGTGTCTACTTAGTACCTGTTGTATTATTTAGTCCTAGTTTGAAATTTGTCCTCGTCTTTTTTTATCTAAAACCTTTGCAAACCAAGATTGATAACAGATTTTGTAAGTATTCTACTCATTAAAAAATATTTAACTCCAATTAAAAAGTACTTCTTGATTGTCATCTGAATATATTTAATAAACAATAAGGAAGGTGTACTCATAATATGGTGTCCTTGTTTTATGAACAAGTTATTTTCATAAATTGTCAATGCTGACGGCATAGTGGCAACATTATTGCTTAATCCTTATTTGGGTTAATATAACTTTCACGATACATCCCAAACATTTGGGGGTTATGTGTAGACATCTTAAAATGAATGTATCGCTTTTAGGAGATTGCTATTCCATGCTTCAATATATCCATAGTTTATACAAGGGCAATGTAATGGTCTTTACCCCTGTGATAATGCTTACCACTTATATCTCAACTGTACAAACTTTACCCATCAGAGTCGAACACTATATCAAAGTTTTAACACACTATATGTTAACATGGACTATCCCACCATTTCCTTCTGTGTGGAACCCAACATTTACCCGTAGACTTAGCCGTGACACTATTTAGAAATCTGCATTATGAAGCCGAAATCGACATCGATTTTGTAGACAACTCGTACACATTTTACACCTTTGTGTGCATACGCTTCACTGGTCATTTGTCTGATGAAGGTGACAGTGTACATATCGTACTAGTCATCGAAACGTCACATAGAAAATTGTATTGGTTGTGAAAAAAAAGAACTTTTCACAATCCATACTTACCAACCTGAATAAAATGTTTAGATCTGGTATAGAAGCCCTTATAGAGAAACACGCACCTCTGCAGACTAAGGTGATAAATGTGAGACCGAATGCCCCGTGGTATAATGAAAATATCCGCGTAGAAAAACAGAGCCGTAGAAAAGTAGAGAGACAGTGGCGACGGACCAAATTAACCGTTCAACAACAGATTTATCGGGAACAATGTCGGCTAGTTGGTTCACTTCTCATTCAGTCAAAGAAGACTTATCAAACAAGTTCAGTGATTACTTTCTGAATAAAATCAGCTCAATCAGGAAAAATATTGCCGAAGTGAACTCTTCTGCTGACAATGATATCTCTGTCATGACTGCTGGCATTGAATTTGATGGGGAACCATTAGCAAAGCTCTTACCAACAGCCCAGGACGAGTTGCGCAATATCATCATGACATCGCAATCGAAGTCCTGTGAGCTTGATCCACTGCCTACAGACATATTAAAGCAATGTCTTGAAGTATTGCTTCCTTTGATTACCTCAATCATGAACAAATCATTGGCTGAGTCAAAGGTTCCATTGTGTTTCAAGAAGGCACATGTTAGACCATTGTTAAAGAAGCCTGGAATGGACAATGAGGAGTTGAAGAACTACCGCCCAGTTTCAAATCTGCCTTTTCTGTCTAAGATCTTGGAGGAGGTTGTGTCCCGGCGTTTAGAGGTTTATCTACATGCAAACAGTCTCCATGACAACATGCAATCGGCCTACCGCATGTGACACTCTACTGAGACGGCCCTCCTACGCGTACATAATGACATAGCTTCTGCATTGGATAACAAGTGCAGGGCGGTGCTTTTCATGTTTTATGAACAAGTTATTTTCATAAATTGTCAATGCTGACGGCATAGTGGCAACATTATTGCTTAATCCTTATTTGGGTTAATATAACTTTCACGATACATCCCAAACATTTGGGGGTTATGTGTAGACATCTTAAAATGAATGTATCGCTTTTAGGAGATTGCTATTCCATGCTTCAATATATCCATAGTTTATACAAGGGCAATGCTATGGTCTTTACCCCTGTGATAATGCTTACCACTTATATCTCAGCTGCATTTGACGTCATCGACCATGGAATACTTTATACACGTCTGGATTACTCTTACGGAGTGACTGATACCGCACTATGCTGGATACAGTCTTATCTGAGTGAAAGACGACATTGTGTTGCCATCGGATCAACCAACTCACATGACAAAGTACTAGATTTCGGGGTTCCTAAAGCGTCGGTGTTAGGACCACGAAAATATTGCCTGTACTCCAAACCGATTGGAGAGATTTGTCGTCGCCATAGTCTTCGCTATCATTGCTATGCTGATGACACACAAATTTACATGGTCATCAAACCACAGGACAGTTGGGATACAGTTTCAGAAAATCTGAAAGCTTGTCTTGAGAGATATCAATACCTGGATGAACGCCAACATGCTAAACCTTAATCAGGAAAAGACGGAACTAATCGTCTTTTCCCCAAAGTGTCAGCAAACAATGGCTCTCCAGCTCAAGGTCGGTGCCAGAACTATTGAGAATATCCCAGCTGTCAAAAACCTACGGGTATACTTCGATAGTTCACTGAACATGGAGAAGCAAGTGAACGCTATTGCCAAATCCTGTTCCTACCAGAGCAGGAACATCGGCTGTATTCGGCAGTTTATAACTGAAGATGCATGAAAGATGTCAGTGCATTCACTTGTTACCTCTCGGTTGGATTATGGTAACGTCCTGCCCTGTGGTATATCTGACAAACTAACTAGTCGTCTGCAGAGGGTCCAGAACACTGCAGAACAGCTGGTTACTCGTACTCGAAAGAGAGAGAACATCACACCTGTGCTTTATTCATTGCACTGGTTACCTGTACAATACAGGTCGCAGTACAAAATTTTGGTGTACACATACAAGGCACTGAAGGGACCAGCTCTTCGGTACCTACAGGACCCTGTATCAGCCGTCAGAATCACTGCGTTCAGAGTCAGAATCATTGTTGTGTGTCCCAAAATCTCGTACTGTGACCCCTGGAAACCAGTGGTTTGGGAGGGTTTCGGCCACGTTGTGGAATAGCTTACCATCTGCTATTAGAAAGTCAAATACCCTGGCCAAATTCAAGAGGAACATCAAAACTCACCTCTTCACGTCTGTATTTTTAGGGTCTCTGCAAAGACGTCATGTAAATACCAACTTTTATTTGTTCAATTATGTGCACATTGCTTGCTTAAATGTATAAGAAAGATTGTAAGCCATTGTTTTTGTTTCACAATTATAACTATTTATATCATCCATATGTTATAAAGCGCTTTAGAGAAATTTTACAAATTATATAGGGCACTATATAAATGTTGTATATTATTTTATTATTATTAATATGCAACATTTTTACATATTCCAAGATGGCCGGTAAGAATATTTGGATTTTCAAATATCCTCTGAATTAATTAATTTGAAGCAAGCACAACTAAAGACTAGGAGGATCAGGTAGGTATGTCATGTTTTGACAACGCAGAGATTAGTTCCTGAAAAACAGCAGTAACAAACTTCACATTCAAAATCCAGGATGGCTTCCTGGTGGCCATTTTGCTTTTCAGATCGATATGAAATTGGCCATGAACAACAATGGAACAGGGGGACCCTGCTTATCAAGTTTTATCATGTTCAGTGGGTAATTCAAGGGTAAAAGGGTAATAGCAGTAAAAAAAAAAAACGAAGGAGAAAGTGGACAGACAGACAATGAAAGAATGATAAAAGGACAGACGCTGAGCCATCAACAACAAGAGTACTGCGGGCGGAACAATATACGCCGTTGAATGCCATATAGTGGTATATACTTTCTTACATTGAAATAAGATTTGCATCATTCTAAGAGTGGTTAGCTGACATGCTATAAAAAATGCAGGAGAAAATCTCCGGACAAAAAATCAAATACTGAAATGAACAAAGGGCAATAACTTTTGCAAAAATTGTCGAATCAAAATTCTTTTAAAGGAGACACAACTTCATATCATGATTATAATTTATACCAAGTTTCAAAGAGATCGGTCGGAAAATGTAGGAGGAGATTGCCGGACAAACAAAAGTTTACAGTCAATCATCAGGTGATGGTCTGGTAAAAAACATATACACAACCTGTATAATCAATAATTTATTACATATAAGCTTACTATGTTTATAGTGATACATGATGGACATACATGGTTTTATTGGCAGTGTATCACCCCCCTTTACTATGACCAAGGTCCCCCAACAGGACAATCGCTATAAGAAGATCCGAATCAGTCTGTCATGTGAGGGTATGGGGGAAATAGAAATTCTACCCAAAAGAGTAGACTTTGGGTCAGAACTAGGCCGTTGCCAAGGTTCCGAGTCTAAATCCTATACTTGAGAGTATCCCCATACCTACATATTACTTGACTCTTTTACTCCGTCCTCTTACCCGATAATTAGGTAATGATATTATGAACATGACAGTAACTAAATATACACAGTACATTTTCTACATAATGCATATATTTATCAAAACCACTGGTTTGGAGTGGGGGAAAAGTATGGTATATCAAAGGTATATGTTAATGATTAAAGCTGTATGCAAAAGCTTCACAACAAGTTTATCTAATAAATGTTTATTTCATGAGGTGATGTCAGTTACCACTTTTTTAAGTGGTTGATAATAGATTATTCTGCTGATCAAAATGACACTTTTAAGACGTCACACATACTTTGAAATGATGTTTCAAACATCAGTCAATATGGTACTAACATTTTGAACTCAAACAGTTTGCTTTTATGCACTTCGTAGTTAGGATTTAGAAAAATAAATTGTTGAGTCTGAACTTAACTGGGGACCACTTGAATCATTATGAGGGATAGATCTGAAGTTATCATACATTGGTTTTACAGAGGTGTCAAATTATCTGCTACATAGAGATTTGAGGAAGCAAAATCCAATATTTTGAGGTTTAAAATCAACCTATGTATATCAATGTTACACATCACTATCAGTCATTAGACAATAAAGCCATGTAAATACACTCGCGTAACAATTTATTTCTTCAGAACAGAAAGTTTAAACAATATTGCACTTTAAAAATATAAACCCTTCTCAGCGATTGATGAAACACATTAGATTTCTTCCATTTACAACATTTTGCCTCTATTAAAAACAATTTAATGTGAATATACTAATCAGAGCAAAAGCAGTGTTCAAAAAATGTCCTTATACCAACTGTCCAAGCTTATTTCAATGCCAAAACCTTCACCAAATAGAAAGAAAGAACTCACAAGTGTTTCTCTAGAAATTGAGATTATCTTGAAATTACTTGTATCTAAAAGATGTGTCAAAAGGGAGGTAAATCCTCTAACTGTAATCAATTTTATGGATTTTTTTCTAAAACTGCACTATTTTATTGACTCTATTTTAACAAAATCTGTATAAATATATCTTCAAGAATCCATCATTGTAAACACAAATAACAGATAAATTTAACAATTTATCAACACAAGGCCATTACCGCATGTTAGTATTGTGTATTTGAATAACATTGCTATAATGCTTCTTCTTTTAATAGTTTAAAGGTGTTTTCAACGTATGCCATAAATTGAGTAATGCCTATATTAATTATGTTTAGATAGGCAATCTTTTCTTTTTTGTCCTTCCCCTTATCCACACATAAATTTGTCATTATAACATTGTTGTTCATACCATAAAGAATGGTATTTCCAGAAATGCATCAATGCATTTACATGCAAAGAAAAATGCCTTATTCATGTTATTTTAGAAACAGTCCATTTTCTGACAGTGTGTTATCAGTATCCCTGTTACTGTAATCAACTCAAATCTTATCAATATCTTATTGCATACTTATACTATAGCACTCATTATATACACCATAATGAAATCAAGTTCATCTATTAAAATGTCTGTTTGTGTATTCCTAAACATTTCCTTCAGGCTGGTAAGTGTGAATTGTGTAATGGTTTGTATAGCACAATAAGTGAAGTGTTTATGTGTGATGTTTCGATGACTAGAACAGCTATACTTACAGAAGAATTTCTTGTCAAAAAATTAATAAATATCCTATTTACTTTCAAAGGAAATGATATTTACACGAGAACATAAATTGTAAGCACTGTAGATGAGAATGGTCTGTATTCCAAGGGTGTTCTATTTGGTCACCGAATATTCTGTCCAATCATCCACATTCCACACAAGTCATCTTCAACATAACACATGGCAGCACAAACATGAATATTCCCTTCCTCTTCCTATTTATCAATGAATCATTTCTTTTTTTCTTTCACTCCTGCCGTAGCTTTGAAATGCTGGTAATAGTTCATGGTTACGTCCAACATAAGGTCTTGTGTACACTCTGGTAACTCTGCTGTAAATTGGCCTGGATAAAAATACATTTCCACTTTAAATTTACTTAGCTCAAATACATATAAAGTTATTACTCTTTAAAAAAACATGAAAAAAATAACCACTACTTATATAATATCATAGCATTATCCTTTGCTGTTGGTAAGTGTTATGTGACTATAGTGACAACAGAAAGTATTTTGAAGGAGAGATATAAGTGAACATATACATCCTTTGAAACTGTAGTAAATATGATGGCTGATCTTTCGTAGATTTCGTAAACTCTGTCCCTCATTGCTGAATAGCTGTGTGTAATATATCATATGTAGGTATTTGTTGTTTCGTAACAAATTCTCTCATATAGTTCTGTCATCTTTTCCACACAAAATAAAAAGGCATAATACTTTGCTGAGTCTGTAAGCTTTGTTTTCACAAATGATAGTCATATAAATGAACATATACAACTGTATACTTTAGGATATGACTATCTTGATGAAGTCAGTTTTATGTAATAAACATAGCAACAATATTTCAGTCACTCTGTACATTACATTGATGGAACATTCAAAGCACCCAGCTGCCAAACTCAGTTATCTTCACTAACCAGACATCTCTTAATTGTATTCGGTTCCTTCAACTTACATAAAAGAGTCTGACTATATTTGGAACCTACCTGGTGATCCTGAGAAGACTGTGAAGGGAGGTACCACAGTCTCCGGGGGTAACACAGTGTTGTCAGCAATGGCACAGCAATCTTTTAACACACATCTTCTACCCTGTTGAAAAATTGCAAAGATATGACAGGGTTTATAATTAAATATCTCCTTAACAGGAAGTGAAAAAGTGGTGCTATTGTTAGGCAATACAATGTACATTGTATTAAACGGGACAAAGATGTAGCAAACAATAAAGTAAGGAAAAACAAATCTAAATATTCAATATTTTACAAGTTTTCGATAAGAATCTGTAAATTTGCTCGAGTACCAATTAAATTATAGAAGATATTTTCAAAATAAGATACAACTGTCAAAGCTAAACGTTTTTGAGTCCAGTACTCAGAACTCTGATTTAAACCAAGCTTCAAAATTCTGAATGGACCTGTGCATGTAGCATTCTGTAAGTATTTCCCTTCTCCTTCAATTTCAGAAAAATGAAATGGGACAAAAATCTGTTACAATTAGTTACACATCAATGAACAAATTAAATGGGAACGTCAAGTTCTACACTGACTTCCCTTTTGAAAATATGTTGAATAAATACTTACAGTACAGATCAAATAAATAGTACCTGAGAATGGAAGTAGAAGAATGTATGTTTTTGACTTACTATTACACAGTTCTTGCCTATGTGTACATATGATCCCACTTGTGCAGCATTTACTATAGAATCCTCATCAATAAACACATGGTCTCCGATATGAAGTGGGAAGAAGGCAACACTGGAAAACAAGAAACATGTACCAGTCATAATTACAAATTTTCAAACATAAATCTTTATATTCCTATCTCAGTACTTGTATTAATATATATATATATAGCGGTAAATAGTTTTAAATGTCCATGTATATATATTTTCCTTCGCAAGTACATCTGAAATGTCAAATAGTCAACGAATAATATTCAAGAAAACTTACCCTTTACTAAATTTCTTAAATGGAGGACGAATAACAGCTTTTCTACTGATAACACAATGCCGTCCAATTCTCACATTAGCCAAGTCGCCACGTATCACACAGTCTGTCATGATAATGGTCTGAAAAATAGTCAAGTAAAAATTGATATGCTTTAAATTACCAACTAACAGATTGTACCATTGTGTTAAAATATTATCCCCATTTATAATAAATAATCTATCTTTAGAATGTATACCAGTTACTAAGTAAATACCTGATATTTGTGGACAATTATACTAAACCTGTTGTGTTGGTATCAGTGCATGTATTGTACATAAATCTGAAAGTGCAAATAGAAGTGCCTTAGCACCACAAACCTATGAATGTGGATGGGGCTGCCCAACACTTAACCAGTAAAGGTATAAGTAAAATGAGGCCGTAAGGCATTAATGGTCATTTAAGTTATAATGTAATTATTGTTCAGAAGTTATTAGAAACAAAAAGCAAAGTACCCTACTATGGGTCAAGGGAATTCGTAATGGAGTGGACACACTTTCCACTTTTATGATATATACTTGATCATTTCTCTGGTCGTGATATCAAACATCAAAATTCAGTTGAAATCTTTCTGAAATAAGATATCGTTTCAATATTAAAGCAAATCAACTTATCCCATGTTCATTTAGAGCATGATCATCTCCCCTATTTACACAAAATATTTCCTTATTCCAGTATTTTAATAATTCAATACCTGCTGAGGGATGCCAAAACCTCTTAAGCTAACAGTTTTTCTTTAACATTATCTAAAATAATTGTTGTCCTATTAGAGAACATCAAAGAATTGAACCTGTTATACATGTAGTAAGAAAAAACATTTCAAATTTTAAAAATGTATTAACATCTTATAACAATTACCAAACTTGTACAAAACATGAACTAATTGTTGGCTTAGTGATTTTACCTTTCCATTAATAACAATGTTCTGACTTCCACAAAGAACTGATTGTCGGCTGACCTTGTTTCCAGATGCCTGTCAATAAGAAACATTGATTAAAGTAATAGTACTTTTAAGTGGTGTTTTTTTTCAATTGATTACAAATGCCATTGCTTTGCAGGTCTACTTAACAATATAAAAAGAATTAGTGACTATCCTTTTAGCCCAAAATATATTTTTGACCCGATCTCCCAGAGAAAAAAATGAATTTTTCGTATAAAAAGGGGTGTTGTTTATGGATAGGGCAATATCATTAGACCTGATGGATAAACATATAGCTATTCGGACTTGAGTAATAGGTTTTAAAGCAAGAAAAAAATTAAAAACAGCTGTTTCAGATACATACATGCAAATACTACATAGTATATGTCGATACAACTACTATAGGTATTTATAGCTATATATACTGTAGGAAAATGAATCGACAGATTGCACTGGAACAGATAGGTACCGTGTAGACGATTCAACTTTAAATTCAAATGAATTACATGAGTTGTGTTATGTAATCCATCCTAAACAAAACATGTGTCTGTGGAACTTATAGCGTTAAATCAAATTTGGTTGTTGATGCAGTGACACTTCAAACGTGAACTGATTACTGTATGGTTGAAACTATCCCGATGTGAAGTGATTAACATTAAACGTTTAAGGGGTTTACATAAAGTTTATTCAAAACCATAAAAATGTGTTATATAACCCCGCCCTACACATCAGGATAGGTACCAACATAATCGTCCATGAAGTCTTCCCAGATGGCTATGTTCAATACAGAAATGACAAAAGCACCCTTGGAGGAGGGGTCTTAACTCTTGTTAGGACCAACCTTGTCTCTGTTGAGGAATGCTCTCTGGTCACAGACTGTGAAGCTGAATGGATTAAACTTAAGTTACCCCATAACAAGGACATGTATATAGGTAACTTCTACATGCCCCAAAGAAACTGTTAAGACATACAGGAACTGGAGAAGTCCCTTTTCATGATCTTTGACTCACCGAAACCGAGTGTGAACTCTGGTGCCCCAAGACCGTGTCATCCAGCAGTCACTCATAGATACCACCTCACCATACCTAACACAAGTCCACAATTCTCCAACATGTGAGCAGAGCATGCTTGACCTTGTATTTATGTCAAATTGAACCCTTGTAAAATCATCAGTATCCATTCCAGGTATATCTGACCATGAGGCTATCGTAACCGACATGGACATAAGACCAGTCTATAACAAACACCATAGAAGAAAGATCTTCAAATTCTCCCAAGCAAATTGAGATGACGTCAAGAAAGATTGTGATGAAACTTAAGCAACAATCATAGACATGGCTACGAGATACACCAGTATTGACGAATTATGGGTCACATTCAAGAATGGTATCACCAACACCATGGAGACAAACATCCCCTCCAAGATGGCGAGCACTAGACCATCAGTACTATGGATGTCCAGAAAGTTGCGTAAGATGCTGTGACGGAAACAGACCCTATATTGACAAGTCAAAAAGCACAACAAGTTGAAAAACTACCATCATCACCAAGGTGAGTGTAAAAGAGCCTTCCGTAAAGCTGAGTGGGACTTCATCAACCACACAATCCAGGATGGACTGGCTTCCAAAAATACCAAACCATTCTGGCGATATATTAAATCCTGACAGCAGGACAGCCTCGACATATCGCCCCTGAAGGAGACAGGCTCTCTAACAAGCGACAGTCTCCAGAAAGCCAACATCCTGTTGCAACAGTACCGCTCTGTGTTTATTTAACCAACACCAAGCAACAGTGATAATCTACAGCTCCCAAACGTCAACATACACCACCCATTCCAGGATATAAAGGTTAACAGTATAGGAGTATTCAAGCCTCTGAGAAACTTGAAGACCTCCAAATCCTGTGGCCCGGATGCCATCCCTAACACAGTCCTTAAGACATGTGCAGACAACATCATCCCAGGCCTAAGCATCCTCTTCAAGTACTCGCTCTGCATCGGCAAACTACCAAAGGACTGGCTATCTGCAAACATCTCTAGTGTGTTCAAGAAAGGTAATAAGACACCTAGCAGAGATCTACAGACCCATCTCCCTAACCTGTGTGTCCTGCAAACTACTGCAGCACATCATCTGTCAACACCTTATGAGTCACCTTGAGAGGAACAAGATCCTCAAAGGACGTCTCAACCATGGATTCTGGAGTGGATACTCATGTGAGTCTCAACTTGTCCTGACCATGGACTCAAGTCACTTGATGCCAACAAGCAGGTGGACTGTGTTGTGTTGGACTTTTCAAAAGCATTTGACACTGTGCCCCACTCCAAGCTGCTTGGGCCAGGAACTGGGGGATGAAGTTTAATGCCTGCAAATGCAACCTGTTGAGCGTATGCTACAGTGTCAACAATACCATTCTTCAGCAGGTTGACAAGTACTCTACCCCATACCTAGGTATCACCATCTCCAGCGACCTTAAATGGGGAACCCATATTGGGAAAATTACCAAAAAGGCCAACTCCACCATGGGCTTTCTGAGGAGGAATCTGAGAAGTTGCCCATAGCAGAGTAAGTGGACAGTGTACACTTCCCTAGTAAAGCCCATAATGGAATATGGAGCAATTGTGTGGGACCCCTACCAGCAGGGTAACATTAACTCCCTACAGAAAATTCCAGCATCGGGCAGCCAGGTTCATCACCCGGGATTAAAAATCCTGTAATCACGGTTTCATTACCCACTGCTAAAATTACAACTTCCCCCTTTTCACGACTGACTGAAGGGCTAGTTAGTGCATGTGCAAGCCATACTGTGGAAGTGTCGAGGAGTTTAAAGCATCCCTCGAACCTCGATCAGCGCAACTATACAATCCTAGCGCACTCTCTCCCCGCTGCAACTATACCAGTTTGGGGATCTAGCAGAGTATGAACAATATTTAGGAATCAGAAGAAATAAGTGAAATAAATCTTATAACGAACTCGCGGGCGCGCAAAAACCTCCGAGGACACTCTGAGGACACTCATTACTCGGAGGACACTCATTAGGGTGACCCGAGTATCCATACAGATACAGATCTTAGACCACAGGGGCACGGTTAAATTTATCAATTTATATCTGAGGCCTCCTTGTTTACCATACATATTAACGTTATTATGTATGGAAAAAAAGGAGACCTCGGATATAAATTGATAAATTGAACCGTTTATTGTAAACAATGAGGCCTCAGATATAAATTGAACCGTGTCCCTGTGCTTTGACTTATAACTTTTTCAGTTATTGACAATTCAGTATGCAACATCTCGCTTACTCTGTGAAATATAATCCCACAAACATATTTCTTTTTTTTACTTCAGTTGTTTACCGTTTCAATATATTCTCCGTTAGTGTAAAACTGATCTTGAAACTCCATGCTGGAAGTCTTGTTGTATCAGCTGCAGAAGATGTAAATATCAGCCTGAATCCTCGTCATTCCATATTACCGGAAGTGCAATCATAATTACTTCCCTTAAAGTTGAGGCACCAAACAGGGTAGCCGAGTTACCAAGGCTACATTCGCGTTACCGGTTGAAACGGTACGTGTGGCGCAGAAATTTTCCACGATAAACGAACACACTTGGACCGTTCTATAAGCAGAGCTAAAAATGCACAGTTTCGGAGAATAAAAAACAATGTATCAAGAATATTATGCCCTTCTCTCACGCGTCCACTAAATTACATAACGTATCTTAAAAACTACATGTGACTTGACATTGTTTTAGAAAGAAATAACGCAAACTAGCAATATTCAGCAGTTTAGTTTCGGCCAGGTACGTCTGGACCCCTCAATCTACACGTACCAAATTTTCCTGAGGTCAGCCTCGGTCCAAATCTGTACCTGTCGTTTTCTTTACAGGTTCAACCGGTTCAACCGTTTCAACCGGNTCATCAACTTCAAAATACAAAAATCGATGGAAATTATTTGTATTTACGCAGAATCTCTAAACTGTCGCTGTACGACGACTGGTGACTTGATTATAACAAGGTCGGGTTCCTTTCGTCACATACTTATCACTGTAAGATATGTTAGGAATGTGAAACAATGATAGCTTACTCAGATGTGTCGCTATATATATTACCGACACAGCAAATGTAGGAGACATGGTCAAACTCAACCTGATACGGTGCTGACATGTTTTTCGGCCACAACACCATATGTTGACACGTTATAGTTAGTCGGAGTCGTTTTCAACCAATTATATTTGTTCCTTGTTTCTTTTCAAACACGTTGTTTGCGACTTTCAAATTGAAAACCAGCTTTCGGGGAACGTAACGTAAATGTTGCTATTTTATTGGACTGAGAAATCACATCGCAGTACCGGTTCACCGTCGCTCCTTTAGATACAGATTTTCGGAGAATTTAGTCCGTCTTTTCACGGACTTAGATAGCACACGAACTTAGATAATCTAATTCCGTGGTCTTTCCTATAATTATGTTCTTTATCGATATATTTTGCAATATAGACACAATGTTTCTTATACATTCAATTTAAGTACTTTTAAAATGATTTTTCTTTGGGATAAATGCACATTTATTGAGTAATATGCACTGAATGAAATTAATACTAGTTACTGCCATAATTACCATTATTATGCGTCTTGCATCCTTTATTGTGATTATTTCTTTTTGATCACCGCATTTCAGAATACAATTAACCACTTATTATCTTATGTTTCCGACAATTGATTGGACACAAGAGTCGATAAATAAAGATACATACATAAACAGACTGACGTCACAGATAGCACGAATGAATTGTGTATGGATTTATTCACAACAGCTTTGGCTGGAATGATAACCATATATGCAATATGTGCGGTATTACCTTTTTAATACATAACTGCATTAGACACTCTTTCTCTTCATTAACTACACTTTTAAGAAAGTATTTCAGAAAAGAAATAATTAATAATCTTAATAGTAAAACTATTATACACTTTATTATACCCCTCGCAACGAAGTTAATATACAGGAATCAGCTTGTCTGTCCGTAGAAAAAGTTTGTCCGGACAAATCCTTCTAAAGTAATGGAACAATTTCAACGAAAGTTTTCAGATATGATAACTACTACCTGATGGTGTGCATCCAGGTATTACTTTTTCAATCTGACCCTTTTGTACGGAGTAATGGCCCTTTGTTGAAAACTACTTGTCCTCACAACTCCTCTAAAACTATGGAGCCAATTTCCACGGAAGTTTACAGATATGGTAACTGCCCCCTGACATTGTGCATCAAAGTAGGATGTTTTCATTCCAACCCCTTAAAAAGGAGTTATGACCCTTTTGTTGAAAAAAAAACCCTTTGTCTGCCTCATAAACTACTGGGCCAATTTCTATGAATGTTTACAGATATGGTAAGTACCCCCCTGGTGTCGTGCATCAGGGTACGTGCATCAGGGTAGTATTTTTTCATTTCGACCCTTTTTAAAGAGTTATGAAATCTTTGTCTTGACAACTCTTCTTTAACTACTTGGACGATTTCAGCAAAACTGGTGCATGGGGGCTAACAGGATTTGGTATGGAAGTATGTTTTGGCATGGGGAGGGAGTAGAGGAAGCATGTCAGTGACATATATGTTTAAATAATTACTGGGGGTTGGATTGCTTTGCAATGCTATGCCTTTAAAAAGCTAGCCTTTAGCTTACAGTTTTGGTTTATATAGGAGCGGGGTTTTTAGTTAGTCTTTGACTTTCAGCTCTAGTTATCATTTTGTTTTGCCTATTGCCCATTGATTAAACAAAATATGAAGGAATATTACATTATTTCATATCATTAACTCTAAACAAATAAACCAAGAAAGGGTATCCTTGTCTGACTCCCCATACAGAAAATTCATAATTCAGCACATTTGATTTGTGTGACCTTGAATGAAGGTCAAGGTCATCAACGTTTACAAAACTTAAATTCATTCACATGAACAACCTACTTGCCAAATATCAAGACCCCAGGAACTTTGGTCATTAAAAAAACACAAGTTAAAGGAAAAGTGGAATGAAAGCTATATTTATCTTTTTTTGAATCAAGAGTGTTATAAGACAAATTTACCGGTTGTCAATATTTTTGAAATTTCTGATGTTAAAAGATATTATTGGTAGCCAACTTTTAAGCTAGTATGAAAAATAGACTAGTTTTAGAACTATATAAATTAACGTGTCAAAAAATGAAATTTTCACATTAGTACTGAAATTTCACATACATTTCTGCTTAAAACTTCGATAAAATGAAAAATTCTTTCTTGAAATATTGTAATATTCGGTTTCAAAATAACAGTTGGGATATGTTGCACACGATGATGATATAATTTTATAGTAATTATGTCATTTAAATGCTTTAGGAAGAATTGTATTACCGCACTTTTAACACCCACACGGGTGCAAGTCAATGAGGTCCCATTTATCATAAAAGGAATTCTTAAACTAACTGTTCCTGATTTAAGCTTCATATACCCATACCTTTTTGGATTTATCTTGTTTTGAAATTCCAAGCGGGGGCCGACGCTAATATGTTAAATCTCCATAGGCGTTGACCCTACCTTTTGATATAAATAGTCAAACATTTTGACTTTTCGAGGAAATGACTTCTCATGATATTATATATTTTTACTTAAATTCGATCATGACAGTCTACCTCTGGCTATTAGTAAGTGCTGGTATATAGACTGACATGTGAAGTGATTCGAAGTTTAGTGATCAAATTAATTAAATATTGTGTAATTTTATGGCTATTTTATTACACGAGTTGCATCCCTTTAACCTTTGATTGCCACGTTGATGTCGTCTGCGCATGACAGTTTGTTTAGATCTATTTCCGCCGCTTCGAAGTTCACAAAATGGACTTTCAATTTATGTTAGTTTCTGTGATGTTTTATGATACCAGGGATTTTGTTTTGTCGTCTGCTGTTTGAACAGACTATTAGCGACAACTTTTGAATTCCATTTATATATATCTTGGTATGGGTGTGGTCATATGAGCCACACTAATCCACTAAAGTCATCGTAATCTGCAGTCATATTGAGAGAACATGGCGGATGCGAATCAGCAACAATACAATCCAAATGGACCCCCTCAACAACCAAATCCACCACAGATGACCATAAACCAGGGTTTGTATATCCATATTACATTTATGACCCGATAAATAGAACACATATATATCTAGTTCGTTAACAAGTCACAAAAGCGACCATGTACGTTGTAGAAAGTGACGTATTTTGATGCGATATTTCAAATTCCACGTTGCAAGGTACACGCGTCTTACTACACGTATTGTTGTTGTGAATTATCATCACTCTACTTTACAGTGTAGAAATTTAAAACACAGACCTGACTGAAATCGTTCTAAACTGATCATCAGGGACAGGTAAGTTGACTATTTATCATGAATGTGGTCGTTTTGTTGTGAAATTCAGTTGAGCATAAAAGTGTTACTTACTTACTTATGGTTACCTATATATGGTGGTTTTCCAACACAGGTCCTCTTCGTCGGACTCTGAACTGTCTAATTGTAGAGTGACTACCAGTTTCGGCCTTGATGTCTGCTTTTTAATCATATAACACATCTTGTGTACTACAGAAAAATGTCCAGCCTATTTTTAAAGGAGTTCATTGATCTAGCATACGCCACACCTTCAGGAAGACTATTCCACAGTTTTGCCTTTTCGCACTGAAACTGTACTTCCTGATGTTCAATTTTGTCCTCTGTACAAGTAGTTTCCTTGAGTTTCCCCTCCCTTGATCTCTGTTTACATGGTCTTTACGCAGTTTGATAGAGTTTGATGATTGATGGTCGTATTCGCCACTTGTAACCGTTTATACTTCTATCATGTCCACTCGGTGGCGTCTATATTTTAGTGTTGATAGCTTTAGTGTTCTCAATCGTTCTTCATATGTGAGGTTTGACATTCCTGGAATCTGTTTTGTTGCTCTCCTCTGTACTCCTTCTCTCATTTCTATGTGTTTCAACTTATATGGGAACCATACGGCGCTAGCATAGGCAAGGTGAGTCTGTACAAGGGTCTTATATAGAGGTATGAAAGATTTTTCATCTAGATGTTGATATATTCTTAAAAGTGCGAACATCAAGTTTGCTTTCTTCACCTTGCCACTTATACTCCTCCTGTACGTTATCTAGAGTGCGTCCCAGTAGTACGTATCTGAAATTGGGGTCCGGATCTTTCTTCCCAATTGCATGTGCTTGCACTTCTCCAGTTGAAATCGCAAGAGCCAGGTGTTACTCCAATCCGTTAGTTTCTGTAGATCTCTTTGTAGTGGTTACAGTGTTTCTGATGTAACATTCAATTAGCTGTATCATTGAAGTAAGGTGGCACTTTGTGAAAGAACATTCTCACTGCAAAACTACTAAAGGTTAATCTTCCACATTCTCCTAAAAGATAGAATGGTCTGGGTCACCCTGGATTTGAAACAAGTGATAAGTCAATTGCAAGACCCCTCTTAAACATCAGTATTGAGATGTATACATACTTTCAAAGGCAAGCACCTGTAAGGAGGTATTTAGCCAGGTGATATATGACAAGTAGTGTCTAATAATTAAGGCTATGTCTCATGTCTACTCATGAGGACTACATTTGTTCAGGAATAACAGTCTTAAAAATTCTAATTTACATGCCATAAACAAAAGTGCTATGTAATATAGTTTTCTTATAGACTACTGAAATTGTCTAATTCAAGGCCATGACCAAGAAAAGTTTAGGGGTGTGTGTGTTAAAATCTAGGTAGGGTCAGAGACCCTAAACAAACTTTTTTTTGCCTTATCCTCCTTGCTATCAATATATAGTATACGTAATACTACTGAATCAAACAGATCGTATGAAATAACTTTATGCACAAATTGGTCTGTCTGTGAATTGAATGATTTCCATAGCCTACAGTGGTTTTTATGGTGAATGCCTATGGGTCTACCATCTATAGTTAAGTTCAGACACTGTAGATAACAAATATATCCATGGCCAAGGCCATTGCACACTCGAGCTTGGGGACACTGCCTAAAGCTATACAAGAAACAAAGCAAGCTAAAAACAACACTCGGCACTTTCTGTATGTGCATATCAGATACCTGTAACAAACTAAATTCCCTTAGAATGTTGTAGAACTGTTTTAAATGATGCCTGTAAATGTGTATACCTGCTGGCAGTGAACCTTTCATATTTAAACCTATACTTTAACCTGTAACCAGAGATTTGCTTGTAAATAATGTTGAACCAAATGCACATAAATCTACAAGCTAATAATGTTTAACCAATGATGAAGGCAAGGCTCACCTGGGTAGAGCTCCTGGGAAACTCTCAAATTGTATCCAACTACGTATACTGATTCAATTGTGAGAATTGTATATATATCTAGATGCTTTGTAAAATGTAAAGTACCTAGTGTAGCTTATTCTAGCTAAATTGGCCAACATGTCTGATGTTGCAAAATATTATTCTTGTACTACTTGATTCCTTGCTAAAGTAATATGTGTGTATAATAGGAGATACATATATTCTAAAAAACATACTGGTATATAATTTGATCATATCTTTCTTTATATACACCAGGAGCTTTCCCTCCAGCACCTGTTGGGTTAGGACCTCAAAGATTTCAAGGACCACCTAGACCAATGAAAGGTATACAGCCTGGTCAAGGATTTCCTGGAATGGGTCCACCACTTCCCAATATGAGACCTCCAGGAAATGCACCAGGATTACCCCCTAATGCAATGGTCCCTCCTCCAATGTCCAGACCAGGTGGTCCACCCCAGACCATGATGGGTGTTCCTCCTACTAGCTATGGAGGTTCTGCACCAAGTGTTAACAATGGACCTGGTTCTAATGTGAATGGATTTGGTGGAACACCACCACCTCTTGTACAGAACTTCAATGGTAATTTGCATCAAGGCAATAGACTTCCACCTCCGCAGAACTTTTCACAACCAGGAGGACAGGGGGTAAACGAACCTTCACAAATGTCAATGGCCTCGAAAAACATGGGACCACCAATGGGGACAATGAACGCTACACAACCTTCATCATTGCCAGGTGGTATTCCTCCTCAGTCAAACACTTTCAACAACATAAGGCCACCAGTTGGCATGATGTCCACCCCAAGTAGTGGACAAGGTGCAAGGCCTTTGATGGGTGGCCCACCAACATCATCTAATACAAGTCAAAAACAACCATTATTAGGTCCACCTCTTGGGCCTCCAACTTCATCAGAGATGCAAGGCTCTGTTGCAGGTAAATTTGATCATTACCATAATTGGCTTTTATTTTCATTTAATTTATTGAATAAGTTGTGTCAAATAGTTTGGAAAAATGTGTACTATGTTATGTATAATATATGGACTTGTATCGTTTTTAGTCTTTATGCAAATATCATACAGCAGTATGGTTTTCATTCTGTTCAAGTGCACGTCAAGTATTAAAGCAAATTTTCAAAGCAGTATAATTAATTATAAGCCCAATTACTTATTAGTACAGTATAATGTAAAAATGTATGAGGTAAAAAATCTATATCGCAAAATAGCTTTAACAACGAACCTGAATAGATATAAAATGCACATGCATGTATGGATGCAAAATTGTGTTGATCAATGATCAATTATGTTGTTCAGATTTAATATAAACAAAGAATTGAAGATCAAATATTTTAATATTCTGATTCTTTCTTCCCAGATATTTTATTGAATGGAAATAAATCTCAAACATTTTTCAATGCTTCATACATACATATATATAGACAAATGTACATGTGCTTTACTGTATCTGCATGATCAGTGCTGTCAATAACATTTGGAGCTTGGGGTCATGATCAGGGTGTTTTAGAAAAAAAGAAAGAGGCACTTTGCATTGACATTACAATCCAAGGTCCCAGGTTAATATAATAATAATAATAATATATATAGAGTATAGATTATACATACTCCGTTACAAATTTGGGGATTGAGGTGACTGGGTCCAAGCTCTCATTGACAACAATAATGTTAATTAAGCTATTCTGTCTGCATGCTTTATATTTTATTGTGTGATCATGACAAAGGCCAGTGTCAGAGTGGTTCAATTTCTGGTATCTTCTTTTTAATGGATGTTTATTGATCTAGGGAGTTAGAGTTGGATTGATATAACATTGATTTTGATGATATTACAAAAGTAATATACATACATGTATATCTCTCATTTAACGACATTCTGTCATGCTTAATATTATACTGTATATATATTATTGAATAGTACTACTTTTTAATGATCATGATAATAATTCTGTCATGCTTATTATATTTATAACACTAAGTGAATAGTACCGCCTCGCTTGATAATAATACCTATGAAAACTGTAGAACATTCATCGTACCTGAATGCACTGTCACAGCTGTTGCCTTTTAGATTCATGAATGGTTGTAAATGCTTGAATCTGCAACCTTATAACAGACAATTAAATTTGGTGTGTGTGTGAAATGTTAGTATAGGTGATATACACTGTATATCAGAGATTCATTTAATACATGTATACACAGATGTAACATCTGCTTGTTTTTTTGTATAGAAAACTAGTACTGTAGCCAACCATTCAGTATTTGCTTGGAGTGATAATAAGCTCCTCAGCAGCATAGCAGAATATTGTGGCAATTGTAATACAAGAAGCCTACCAGGCTCGTATTGCACACCAAGTTATTTGTTTTCTGTCTTAAACTAGAAGATAAATAGTTTCTGCTTACTATAGACCATCTTGTAGTATATATATATAGCCATCTCAGTTTTCTTATTGACAAAAACCTGGTAAAAACACTGTTAACAGTCATAGATCTGCAAGAAAATGAAAGGTTCAAATGTACAGTTGATCTGCTAAAGCAACAAACAAAACTTGTTTCAAAATGAAGTGTGCATGTCTGAATTGACTGCAATTGCATGCGCTACTGTAATATTCAATATACATATAAAATGTATGTGATGGCTCTCAACATGTTTTGCCATAATACCAGTTTTGATATTTTTCCCAAAAACTACATGTATATATATATAATGGATAGTGTACATGACATTGTGTAATTCAATATGTTTATTCAATATGTTTCCACATGCATATTTTCAAAATATGCATACATGCAAAGGTGGCAAATTTGTCACTTTCTTATTACTTTTAATAGCTATAGGTATTACCTGATCAACAAATTCAGCTTTTGTTTGCTTAAAAATGTATTTAGCCGCTGAAGCCCCGCCCTGTTTAATGATTTTCTCCAAATTAAATGTACATGTGTTAAAATTAAACAAGCCTCTGAAGTCCAGACCTTCTTTTGCTCCATATAAATAAGAAACTACTATAAATATGGTTTACCTTGACAAAGAATATGGTACATGTGTAGTGTTTGTTTGATTTCAATTTGGGATCCTTACATTTTTATATAAATTCTTAACTCTGATACATCCAAATATTTGTGGTGCTGTTCCATCTTGCAGCCCAATAGCTGTCATGGACTCATAATAGTCAGAGAAGTAAGAGGCAGTTGCTACAAATATATCTTGCACACAGTGGAGGCGGTCCTTAAATGACCTTAGCTGTTAATAGGACGTTAAACAAAATAAAACAAACTACAAATATTAGTGCATAGCTCGGATATGATAAATAACAACATCACTAACAGGATAGGCCCTAAAACATAAACAAAATTAACTTGTGCCTGAAGCTGTGTAAGTTCAGCTATAGTTACCTGTGCTTGATGTACACATGTATTTTTATTACTTTAAAAGAAGTACATGTACTGATAAACTAAAAAGGAAAGCTTATAACTGCTCTAGATCTGTATACCAAGTAACCTGTATAATAAGATTAATTAATCAAAAAAGACAAAAAAAATAAAAAATAAATTATATGCATATATAATTTTATCTGGTCTTATGATAGCGTAATCTTGAAGCATAGTATTTTCTGGTACTGACTAGTACTGTTGTACATATATGTGTGTCCCCATTATAGAGCGCCCTGGTGGTCTGCCAGTACCCTTTCATGGCCAGGGCCAATACTCTCATCAAGTCGGCATGACACTAACTCCAGGAACACAAAACATTTCAGGTAGTTATCACGGATGTGTACTACAATATTTTTTATTTTGAAAAAAGAACAAAAACATTTGGTTAATGCTATATGCGCATGCATATATATGTTGCAAATGAAATACTTAATGTAATAAATTACACAATTCTAATATATTTAATCATTATTTTATAATTATTACAATTAACTTGAAAAAACCTGATGTGAAGTTCTTTTAGCTCTGGGAATATTTTCAGCATGTTGCATGGCAAAACAATTTAATTATGTAATATCCTCATATTAATTTTCAATTTTACAATGCGATTAATTTTGTCTCCACATCAATTTTGTTGCATCATGGTTTTTAGTTTTCCTACCTGTTCCAAGTTATTAACATTTAAGTGAAAACCGTAAGAAGTAAAAAATTATGTTTCGGTTATTGCAGAGCCCACATCTCGGAAGTCTTCGAGAGCCCCCTCCCCGCTAGGGAATCAGTTATATGATGCTGTCGAGGGACAGTTAAGTGGCATCGAGAGTAAGATATATTTTCATATTTGTTAGAAATGAATACACTTGTAAATAGATCAACATAGAAACGATATGTTTGTAATAAAAGCAGTTATAATAGATTTTGTACAGGTTCATATACATTTAGCACAATATCAGTGAAATATTTTAATGTGTTACATTTAGATGACTTCTGCATTATAAACTCTTTCACCTTCATCAGACAAATGACCAGTAAAGCATACTTACAGTAATTTACAAGTTGTAAAATATGTTCAAGGATTTGGCAACACTGTTATTAGTGTATTAATACACTTTTATTAGTTGTTATATATATGGTACAAAACTAATGTCAAGTCTACAAATCTTTGGAGGTGACAAAAGTCCATATTGTACTTTTTGAAAGGCATCAACTTCAAAGGCACTCAATTATAAATATTGCACTGGCTGTGTTATATGAACCTATATACAATTTTTATATACCAGTGAAGAAATATTTCGAAAGAAAAGTAATCATAATAATTTCTCTACATTGGACAAGTTCTAAAATTTGTAAAATGTAAGTACAAAGTACCGATCATGGATGGTACCTGAATGGTGATTGGCAGTGTATATACAGGTAAGCTAAGATCATTGTACAAGGGGACAATACTCTAGCAGTAATCTACAAATACACAAGCCATTTTTTGGGGGACAATGAAGGAGTTGATATCTGTAATATCAATACTCAGTGCTCTACTGTATGTAAATGTCAATTGTGTATGGGCAATTAACAGTAAAGGATCCTGTAAAGGCTGTATACATCCATCACACTCAAAATTTACCTTACACAGACTTTAAAGAAATGCATAATGTATCAGTCTCAATTATACTAGTTGAACATAAAGCTAGTTCCCTAAATAATATTATCATTCACTTTCAAATACGCTTTATTGACCTTTTGTATTTTGATATTTGTACAGGTAGTTGTAATTGTGTTGTATGTTTATATGTTGCAAATGTTATAAATTGAGTATCTGGGGAAACATACTTTTTTTTTTTTTTTTTTTTTACATTTTATCATGCAAAAGTTTACATTTTATCATGCAAAATCTAGCATGTATGTACATATATGCATTGTGTGACTTAATACAAAATCCAGCATGTCATTTTCAACATGTTAAAGCTGAAGTCTATCCCACTTAATATGGCTTCTCTGTCTTTGAGATATACACAATCTAACAAAGCCATAATAGGAAAGCACTATTCTTTTATAAATGTTGAAATCTTAAAAATATTTTTAAAAAGTGCTCTGTCTATTAGTAAAAGTGCATGCCACCAGTGTATTTGAGTTTTCCTAATTTGAGTACATGTCTTTAATAATAATGAAGCAAAAATGATTTGAATTGGTTGGATGTTTCATTTACAATCTCATAAATGTGAAACCAAATTCATTGGGATGGTCGACTGCTTTAATTTTAAATCTGGTTATAATGATATTTTGTAGTGGCTTAGTATTATATTTAAATTGACATAACGATATACACATACTTATAATTTAAGTTAAGGTCAGTATCCATAACTTGCATTTGTCGTACATATGTACAATATGTAATTATAAAATTATTGAGAAGTAGGAGTCAGAAACTGGTTGAATTTCTCACACAATTATCCAATTTTGTTTTACTTAGTGAAATTATTTAACCAATCCAATAATAGCACATGAGCTCCTATCCAAACAAAATATCGTACATTCAAAAGTATTTGGGGGTAGGGGGTGAACATTGATTGAAAACAAAGATTTGACCAACTTTGTTAATAAAAACTGCATGATGGTCAAATCTTTGCTCATAGGTAGATGATGCCGAGGTTTTTTTATTGTCCATGTTGAAAGATGGTATCATTTCAGGTCTTAATGCAAATGTATTGAAATCATTGGAAGAGCTATTATTGTAAAATGTTTGAAATTTAGAAAATTATGTAAAACCCTATTTCAATCATTTGTTCCTGAAGTTGAGGGGTGGGCTCAATCTAAGAGATTGTTTATCATAACCAATATGATATACAGTTTTATTTGCTGCATTTTTATTTGTCTGATGACATGTGACTGAGAAACCTAGCTAAAATGGATTTCAGTCGTATATGGTAAGTAAATATACTTTCCAATGACAAAATATAACTAAACATCCATCATTTAATTCCAGGTAATACACAGGTGCCAAGCATTATTGGAGGCCCACCTACATCCATGATGGCTCCATCCAGTTTAGGATCAGGTCCATCAAGAACTTTTGGTATGCAGAGTCCTTCATCAGGCCCAACAACAATGTCTGGAGTTCCACCCCGTATGTCTGGTGGCCCTCCCCTTATGTCTGGAGCTCCACCCCCTATGCTAGGAGCTCCACCTATGTCTCGAGCCCTGCCCCCTATGTCTGGAACTCCACCTCTTATGTCTGGAGCTCCACCCCCTATGCTAGGAGCTCCATCTATGTCTCGAGCCCCGCCCCCTATGTCTGGAGCTCCACCCCTTATGTCTGGTGCACCTCCCCCTATATCTGGAGCTCCTCCTCATATGTCTGGAGGCCCACCCAGGTCAATGGCAGGACCTCCATTACCAGGGGGTCCTGGGCAGATGCCATCTGGTGGACTCCCATTACAGCAGATAAGAGGTGTGAATGCTCTAGCTGGCCCTCCTCTTCCTCAAGGGAACACCAACCAAATGACACAACACATTGGCCATCCAGTGGTAAGACCTGATTTCAATTAACAATTATATGATCCCAATATAAATTTAAGTAAGACATTGCTACTAGACCCAAAACTTCGATAAATATTATTTGATATGAAAGAATTTATTTGATTGTCAATAAAAGATTGATTCTACATTCCTAAACATGAATCTAATTGTTGGTTTCTGTGTGTCTTATCCTTGAAAATGTATTTTTGTCATTCCTCTTACTAATATCAAACGTATGAAAATGTAAAAAAAAAAATCTGTTCTAGTGTATCTGAGAATTACACAATTTGCAATCTTCTTCTTGAAATTTCCTCTAACCACAAGACTGAATAACTTTTAATTGTCTTCCATAAGGCTCTCAGAAAACCTTTTGAGTTTTCCATGCATGCTGAGGCTAGGAGTAGACATCTCATTTTGGGCAGGTAAAACTTATCAAGAAGATTGTAAATTGTGTTGTCCTACGCATTGTTCTAAGAACAAAGTAGAAATTTGGCCTTCAAAAAAGGCCAGAAAAAAGCATCTGATAATATGTTATTTACATTGTAATGTCAGTTTGGTTTCAATTTTACAGAACAACCAGAATGCGCAGACTGCACCTTCTAACTCTCCGTATGGTCAACTGCCTATGCAGAATCAGCAACCCCCCCAGGGTCAGGGGTATTTAGGTCAGAGTGGAGGGATGTCAGGACCACCAAGACCTGGCATGCCAGGACAGTCACAGTTTCCCCCAGGTCCTGGCATGGGCCTTCCCAATTCACAAGGAGGATCCAATCAAATGGCACCTCCTTTTGGCCAACCAATGGGAGGACCAGGGGGTGTCGGAAATCCCAACGCAATGAACAGTGGATTTGAAATGTTGAGTTTACAGGTAAGTTGAAAAGTCTGTAACAAATGAGACACTGAGATAGTAGTAGAACACTTTTAAAACATTGCAGGGGACCCTTCAGAAAATGTGTTCACTCTAAGTGTTATTTCTTACAGTTCATTACATTTTTAACAGGACTATATAAGATTCTATCTAAAAATAATTTTAGTAATCAATCTCGTTAATCGCTTTCCTGCTACCATGAGACTGATGATCACCCTGGTGGTGTCAGTTCCTGAGGACTTAGTCATTGGGTCATAACTGGAGATTAATATGTATCATATTAATATACATTTTTTTTTTTTTAAATTGAGAAATAAACATGGTCTTGCCATCAGGACTGATTCAAGGATCTTGCCAAGCCCCTAGAGACTAAAATATCCTCTATGCTTATTTTAATACAAGTAAAAATAAATGATGTTGAAAAACTTGATTTGTGTTAACTTTAAGATAGGTGTACATGAATTGACGTTAATATTAGTATTAATACTGCCTATTTACTACTACCGGTATATCATTGATCTTTTATGATACATCTAGCAAAAAATGAATGCTTAACAACACTAATTTAATGTCTTTCTTCAGGACACTGGAGGAAAGGTTGTGAATCTACTTCAGGAGAAAAGACTGATCCCGGCCAATGGGATAGAGACGCCAAAACCAAAGCTATCGTATGACCATAAAAAAGCAAACTGCAATCCTGAGTAAGTGGTTCTGCAGGGATGCTTTAGTTAGGGATCACAACAGGTCTTATCTTAACAAAAGAGGAATCCCCCCTAACCTACCCCATATTACAATAAATATGTCAAATTTATTTAAATGTAGATTGAAGATATTTAAGGCACCATGTCTTTTAAATAGTATTTTGAATAAGGAAAGTCACTTAAATTCACAATTCAAACAAGTTGTATTAAAATATAGTACACAAATTAATTGAAATAGTATCAATTTTGCTATCGAACAGTACACCTTTTTCAAAATATAAGTTTTCCCACCTCATAAGGAGAATTGATATTATTAAACAGTGAGCTTCTTCCACCCCATAAGGAAAGTGAACATTAAACAATTCAAGGGTGTTTTCCCTATCCCTGTAAATAGATATTACACAATCAAAGGGAGCTGTTCCCACCTTATGAAAAGGGAAAGTTAGTAGCCAAAGAAGCCACATGATATCAAAACTACAGGTCACTAATAAAGTCTGCTTTCTTTTGACAAATATTTATTGAATTTTAGTGTTGTATTTTGGCGTAGTCATAATAAAGATTAATTTATGTGGTTATTTTTCAGTGTGTTCCGTTGTACTTTGACGTCGATTCCACAATCCTCATCATTGTTGAGCAAGTCGAGGCTACCATTAGGCATCCTAATTCACCCGTTCAAAGATTTATCGGTATGTTTTTATTTTGAGGAACCTTTACTTTCATTTTAATTCGCCCTGAAAGCAGATTGTGGATAAAAATTTGTGGGTTTGCTTGTGCTGTTTGCTAGCTGGTTTATTAATTACAAGTGTTTAGCTAAGTTAAATAAAAGAGCATGCTTTATTTAAAAGCTATTTGGGTTTCCTGCCTATTTTAAAATGGAGCATGGTTACTGAATTCATTAGGGCTGCCCAGAGTACCTGCTTTAGCGCATTATAACAAGCTGTCTTACAGTGTACTTATTACCTTTAAAATCACATGTTACAGAGATCACTTACTGTATGTTTGAAAGCAGTAGTCAAGGCAAACTGCATATACAGTCGAACCTCGTTATCTCGAAGTCGATCGACTTTCAAAACCATACTGGCTGCTGTCCTAGGTTGTGATTTTTACTGGAACTCTTTTATGCATGACCACGCTTTGTGACCAATTTTCATGTTTACACTGTCGTCTGTTTGGGTGTACAAATCATTAAACTGACTCGCAGTAAGTACAGAATACTGTTGATCAACATTGATGAATTTGTTTTTTTATTATGAACAGCATGGTTTTAACAGTCCGGAAACTTTATAGTCTGAAGCTTTATCGTAAATTATTTTTATCGATTTCATTCTTGTCTACTCAGGAAAGATATTCATAACATAAATGGCGAGATGTCATACTTTCGGCTTTATTTGTATCAAAGAATTGATTAGTGACAAAATAAAATTTGAACACAATGAAGTAGACAATGTTTTGATGTTGGATTTACGCTATTGAAACCAATATCTTACTTCGAAGTATCCAAGTGTTTCGACGTTTCAGGGTTCGAATTATCAGAGTTTTATTTACTAAGATAAAGAAGAGATTTGGCCAAGACCGGAGAAATACTTCGAGATAAATGGGGTGTCGAGTTAAAAGAGTTCGAGATAACAAGGTTCAACTGTATTTTTGGAAACGTGCACGTGGGATGATTAAAAAAATTGGGTAATAACCTAGGAACCCTTGTTCATGTACCTGATTTGCTTGGCATAACCAGGTCATGGCAGTCATGTTACCAGGATTGGCCTCATGGAAATGAGTGTTTTTAAATCATTTCTAGCCCACCCACCCCCACCAGAAGATTTGTATATAAATATAAAGGAATTTTTAATTTAAATTTAGAATTAAAGAATTGAAACTTGTGATGGTATGGTGAAAAACAAGAACAGCCTGCTGTCTGGTTGCCTGTTGATAAACTGTAACATTTAAAGCACCTTCTTCCCATGCAAGTCATTAAAGGACACACATAAAGTGTTATCATTGGTTGTAGTTCCTTGATTCAACATTCTGTCTAGTGGTGTTCCCTGAGGAATCTGTCTTCATGTGACCTTAGCTGCTGTGAAGATGTTTAAACCCTGAAAAATATCAAATTCAGTATATTCCCTGACAATTACTGCTTTTGAATGTGTGTTGTCAATTTATAGAACAGCTCTCCAAAAGTCATTTAAGTGATTGACTTTTAGACATTTGTCTTGTTATCTGAAGCAGAGTATCAGTGTCTTATAAGACCTGTGAGATATGTGTGAGGAAATGTGTATCCTTTCCCTCATATCTGTAGACTTGCTGTGGATTATATTACCAATTTCAATAAAAATAGTGCTATGTTTTCCCATTTCATATAGGAACAGGCTGTTGTAAATATTTGGTAAAAAAAAAACCACTGATAAAACATGTATATATATACACCTCCAATGAGATAATGTGTGTGGGATGTTGGGTAATATCTTCGTCCATATGGACTTTGTGAAAGCAATTTTATTTTATAACCCTTTTTCCTTATGTCTCCAAATATCTAGATTTGGGATGATTTTGGCGAGAAAGTAGTAACAATTTTTCAATTGACTTCCACCCCTTCCCTAGTAATGTCTGAAATTCAAAAACCCTAGGTTGTATCAATTTTTAGAGTGCAGACTGCTAGATTTGACATAGGTCTGAATATCCTTTGTATTTCTGTGATCATAATACTACTTACTGTTTTAAATGGTATTGTTGTGTTAGTTTACAAAAATGTGTATTTTTTTGTGTCCACAAATACTATTCAGGCATTATATAACCCTTTCTCCTTTTCTCTCCCATTATTTATAGATTTGCGATGATTTTGGCGAGAATGGAGTAAGAATTTTTAATTTTGACTTCAATCCTTTTCCTAGTAATATCTGAAACAAAAGCATGGGCTGTATCACTGTCTACTGTACAGACTGTGCTGGATTTGTTTATTTTTTGTGAATTACTGTGATCATACTTATTTCTAAAAACACCTAATTGTTTTACTGGTATGTATTTTGTTTGTTTACCAAGCTAACATTTAGCAATTGCAGATTGGTAAATATATTCAATTTAGATATTACAATAATTTTATCAGTAGCGGTTGGAACATCAATTACTTTTCCATATGTGAAAGGAAACCACTGACTTTTGATATGCAGTTTTTCAAATATAGAAATGTATCATGAACCAAAAAATAAAAAATAAAAAAAACAGCCAGAAAGATCAAATATAATTTCTTGTTTTGAATGGAAATATAAGGATAAAAAAACATTTTTTTGATATTTAGAATGGTATGCAACACAGTTCCATTCAAACATTTCTCCATTGCCTGCTACTACACATGCATGTCGTGAGAATATTTTTGAACTAAACTATGTGAAATACTCGTCAATATCAAAAAGAGGCATTTCAATCCTTATGTGTGTTTCAAAATTTTGCATTTAACATTGGCTTAAACTATTTATGTAACAAGTGAAATATTCAGTAACCATGACCTCCTATCTGTCAGGTAAACTTTTAATTCAAATATACTAATGAAATTCTTATGCTTCCATTTAAAAAAAATAAACCCAACAAAATCAAATGACAGTGAAAATCTCCAGTCATGTGGAAGAACTTTTGTCACAAATAAATACATAGTAAGCACATATATATGGAATTATAAAACCGAAAGACTTCAGCCTCAGTTGTCGACAGTTGACAATGATACAGTTTTCACATAATGTATGCTGCTAGTGGGTGAATTTTTTTGTATTGCTTGCTAGGGAGATGGTGGTATCTAGAATGTTCATAAAACTCATAGGCTTAATTAGAGCAGAATATTTTCAGAATATTTTGTTCATTAATGATATGGCTATGTTGGGAGTATGCCATCTATATTTATGAACAATGGTAATGGATGCTTTGTGTTAAATCCCTTTATGTAGTCTCACCACTGGTTTATTATGATACATGCATTTTTTTCCAGAATATCTGCAAAATATGTTTGTTTAATCATCCCCTAAAATGAATGCCCTAACTGAAATTCAAGTCATGTGCAAATGTAATTTTCAACTAAAGTTCAGTTATTTTATTTTGTTCAAATTCCACCAAATTTGCATGGGTTTTTTGTGCTTCTTTTAATAAAAGTTATCTCTCAAAATAAAATTTAAAGGAGTGCATATTGATTCTGTTATGCCAAATTTCTGACAAATTGATACCATTGGTATTCTATATTTTCGATATAAGTTTAAAAACCAAAACTTTGTTTACATAATTGGCACAAACATAGTGATCTTAATTTGATTTGATATGTAGAAAACTTCTAATGCTAGTTGAGTGCATTTAAATTATGGAAATGCCCAACAAAGGTGAGCCCAATTGTTTCAACATTGAGGTATTAAACCCATGCAGATTGGCTGGTGAAATAAGTCACTAAGTTGTACTTTATCTGATTTTCTTAATTGATTGTATAAACATAGTTTGTATTTTGTATTTTCAGCAGCTACCTGTTATACAGTCAAGTGTCATAGTGCGGTGTCGATCCTGTCGGACCTACATCAACCCATATGTGTCCTTTGTTGACCAGAGGCGCTGGAAGTGTAATTTGTGTTATAGAATTAATGATTGTAAGTACATGTGTAAAGATATTCTTAAGTAACTTCTTTAATTTTAAGCATTAGTTAATTTGATTTCTAAAACTGATTTTTTTTTACCTCTATGTTATGTTTTTAATTTGTTGGAAAATGGAAAATGTACTTAATATGGTAGTCTAGATACTGGGCATGCCAACAATGTGGCATTACACTATTAACTTAAACTCTGAAATTTTGCATTGTTGATTTTCATTTTACAAGATAATTTGTTTTTAAAGATGTGCAAGTCTTCTTTTTTCTTCAGGTCTAAAAGTATACAAAATATGAAACAAGTAGCCACATTTTATTACAATTACAATGTAAAATGGGTAGGTTACAACATCTTAATATAGTAGAGTTACATGTATTAATGTTATAGAAAGATGACCTACAACAATTACGTCAAAGACAAAATAGTTAGCAATATAGGCAAAAGTATGCTTTTGTATTTATAACAGTTCTTTTTCTCATTTGGTCAGAAGAGAACTCCTTTTCATTGGAATATTTATGAATATTCATGATTTTTTTTTTGTGTTGGATATATTTGAAAAAAGTTTGTGTAACTGAATGTATTGACATTTAAGTAAATATTAAATTGATTTCTCACGATTGTCAAACACTCTTTTTTCTTTGTCCATTTCAGTGCCGGATGAGTTTCAGTTTGATCCTGTTAGTAAAACCTATGGTGATCCTCAGAGAAGGCCGGAGATTAAATCAGCTACAATAGAGTTTATTGCACCATCTGAGTATATGGTAAGTGCAACAAGTTCTTAGTTTCTGGAGAGAAAAAATCTGAAGAAGTCCACAGAAATCAAATTAACACTTAAAAAACTAATAGATGATTTAGAAATATTCTGCTTATGCATAGGTAAATGGACAAGGATTATCCAGATTAGAAAGGAAAATGCCTGACAATGTATGTACTCATTGATCCACAGCAGACAGTTTTCCTGAACAAGCACATTCCCCGATGTATCCATGCAGGCTTTAACAAAGTGTTCAGTTCTGACATTGAAAACAAATGGCTACTATTCCTGCTTTACTCTTTGAAAATTCACTTTAACCTCTGAAAACAAATGGTGGGAGGGGGGATATTCCTTTGCAAAAACCTAACTGCCATCACATATTTTTCCCAAATCACAAATACCTTTTGCCCGATATAGTACTCTGGAATATATCAACATGGCTTCTTACATATATGTCTACATTTTGATATACATTTGAACCAATTTATCACAGAATTTAAAAACAGAGAGTGTGTTATATAATATCTTGATTTGTTTTAATTGAATTCTATATCAGTTGGGCCAAAGAACTTTGTAACGTACACTGTATATAAAACATCATAACCCTTGTGAGGTTAGAAATAAATTCAGTGATGCTTCTATTTGCAGTTACGACCACCTCAGCCTGCAGTGTATCTTTATCTGTTAGATGTGTCTTTTAATGCAGTAGAAACAGGTTCGTATCATTACCGTGTGTTATGTGTGCTGTTAAATTTCAGGTATATATGGATAATGTGTGTATGGATACCATATGTTTTCCTGTTAAATACCAAGATGGGCATTTATGAAACCGTATGTGTTATCAAGTTTAATTGTATTTTTGCTTATGCTAATTTATTAATGTGTGAATATGTTCAAAGAGCTTCATCATAAATAATTTCATGGTGTAATTTAACGTTTTTATGTGATTTAGTTTTAAATCTTGGTTTTATTAATTAGAAATTAATTTCTTAGCTTGATAACACCATATTTGATGGGATATAAAGTTGGAATTGAAGTTGAAACAAACCCATGTTTACCATACAGGATACTTAAGAATATTTTGCCAAACTCTACTGGATGAGCTGGACAAGATTCCCAAAGACAGCAGGACACAGGTGGGGTTTCTGGTATACGACTCCTCACTCCACTTCTTTAATCTGGCCGCAGGACAGTCACAGCCACAGATGCTTATCGTCTCTGACCTAGAAGGTATGCTGTTATATATGGTGACAGAGCCATATGTGTAAGAAGATTAATATATTACATGGGCATACCTATCTACCCATGATTAAACTTGGGCATCGGTAGTTTTCTTTTCTGTTATTTGTAGTCACAATAGAGATTCTAGAAGAACACCAAGTTTAAATTGAAACTTTGCTTTTTTATTTAATTCAAAACTTTAACAAAGTGATCTTTTCCTTATTTGTGTTTTACCCTACCCTCATGAGATGTTGAGCTGTTCAAATTGCCTTTCAGCTGCATTGTGTAATCTGTCTTTAACAATTATTTTGTCTCAATTTCCTCGACCGTCAGTTGATAGGTTTTCTGCAAATTTCACAAGTACGTTTCTTTCGGTCCTCATTTCAATCATTTCAAAATGACAAAGCTTTAATTATTTACCTGTCCAAATAGAATAAATGTTGGAGTGTAGTCACACATATGTTATGTTTTATTTACCATTCCCTCCTTTGCAAATTCCTTTATTTGTAGTGCAGTTGATGTTGACACTAAGTTATGTTTAATTTAAGAAGGACCTGCTACCATGCTGTTTGTTCTGTTTTAGATGTGTTCTTGCCCTGCCCAGACAACCTACTGGTGAACCTACAGGAAAGTAAGGAGCTGGTCATTGACCTGCTCAATCAGCTGCCCAACTTGTTTGAGGGTAACATGGAAACTGGCAGTGCCCTGGGACCAGCACTCCAGGCTGCATACAAACTCATGGTGGGTCTCAAGATAAACAATGTTAAGAAATAGTTTTATAAATCATCTTTCTTGACTGATGTTGAACTTGCTACATTCAAAGTTTTTATGGATTGTTTTTGAGTTGTTTTCCCTGTTATTTTAGTCATCAAATGGTGGGCGTGTCACAGTGATGCAGACCGTATTACCAACCGTAGGGCCAGGTGCCCTTCAGGCCAGGGAGGACTCCAATCAGAGAACAACCAAGGTACATACCATGTTAATAGTTAAACAAATGTGTTATATTTTAATATTGAGAAGAAATGGTTTTACACCATATCTGTTATTATAAATAGTTGAAAAACGGAAAATGTTTTGTTTAATACTCCAGCTCCAAAAAGTGAGATGTATAATGTGTTTGTTTCATCAGTGCATGTGCTTTGTCAATCCATTTGACCTGATACAAAAGGATATCTTTTACATCAAGATATCTGGTTTTGGACTTTAACTATGGTCAAGCAATGTGTTGCATATAGAAATACAGCCACTGGGACATCGATCAGCCTGACATTAGGCCTTGATCTACAGTACCAACATACAGTTTCCTAGGCAACCAATTCAAGTGGAGAGTTCCTACTTTGTATGCATATACATCTCATATTGTTACACCTCAAGTGAATTTCTAGCCATTTGATTGGTTGGGAGAAAATTAAACAAAAATCTCTGTCATACTCTGAAAATACATTGGTTTTAAGGGGCGCGGATGATATTGCCATGAGACAGTGAAAAATATCACATGTGCCAAAAATGTGCTTTCACCGCTTCGTTTCCCCACCGTGATGGTCACAAGAACGTTTGACGGCAACAGACAATTTTATCAAGCGCCAGTGCGATAGCGATTGTCAACAGCAGACTATAAACAAACAAGATGTCATTATCGAGGTTTGCTGCCGTTTCTGAGCAACAAAGACTTGGTGTAACAAAATAGATATGACATTCATTAGCAGGGGACAGGGAATATTATCAACCCTCAAAAACCCATTGTCACCCTTGGCTTCGCCTGCGGTGACAATGGTTTTCTTGGGTTGACAATATTCACTGTCACCTGCTAATGAATGTCATATTTATATACTGTTAATCAAAGTGACACTGTTCTAACTAGAGAACGATCTAACTCACTTCATTAGTATGTAATACACAAGTAAAAAAACAAAACCCTGTCTGAGCACCTTTTGTTCAAACTAGTGTTTCTATTGAGCAACAAGACACTGTCTGTGCATGCATATTTATTTGGAAGCTAGGCAGTGATTGGTTGTTGGTTTTTGGCATGTGTAACTGTATTTGATGGAATAGCCAGACCACAGTAAACGGATGATTATTCAACTCTACCTGCACTTTAATCACATTTAAAATTCCAGGTGCTAAATTGTTTTACATTAATAACAATCAATTAACTGCATATAACTAGCTTTATTAAAGGGACATCACGTGAAAAGGCGTTTTTTTTTTAATGAATGTATGTATTGTATGCACTTCCACTTATGTTACCTCGCTATCCCCATATTCATAGTCCGTTCCAAATGTCCAGTTTGACCACTTGAATTGTTCGGGAAAGCCCGGCTAAAAATAGCGCCGATAACGTCACCTGATTAGGCAGCAAACACAAGTGGTGCGAGCGAGATGAAACGGTTTACAAAGGGGCCCTCAGAGAGGGGCCGTCAGGCAACTGCAACTTCTTACCGCACTATGAAACCAAGTTATATGATTTCTAATTCCGTATTCAAACTTATTGAACAGTAATTATTCATCATCAGAAGTTAATTGCACACTTGCCAATATTAAGAATTTAAATTTATTTAGCTTTTAACATAAATTTGTTGCCAATAAAATTAAACAAAGGATGGGGCACAAGTTTTTACAATTTATCACAGCCTTCTCCCGTGACCGGTACAGGTGGTACGGGGCTAAACACTCCCTCAACAATGGGACAAACCTTTCTGTAAAAAGGAATATTCACGAGACGAATATCCCTTTTCAAATGTTTACATAAAGTGCATATATGCAATGACAAACTACACGCGAATATAAAAAGGAAACGTTTGTGAATTTATTTATTACATTAAACAACTCAATGTCTTTGGCCATTTTTTTTCTAGACCATGAATATAAATCTATGTATACTCTCTTTCCCACTTTCACTGTCTCCAAACGCTAACATTTAGGAAGTCATATTAACCATCACACACAATAAACTGTATGGCAAAACCACTACGTGTACATGTAGAATATGTGTCAATAAGGAACGTGTTGAGATACTTGATAATTATATTTTTTCAATACTTTACAGAGATTAAAGCATACTTTTAAATGGACCTTTTTATGCTGAGACAACTTTTCTTTAATCAGTTCCTTTGGTCCGAAACAGAAGCCGTAGTTATCGGCAGCACGCGCCATTTTTATAACGTAATCAAATATTTTTTCCCCTGTTTTCAATACGTATTCCGATTCTATCTGAAGTCGAAAATTTATTCTTTATAGAGAAAAGGTTGTTACATGATCATACATTCTAAGTCAACATCATATGAAAACATGAACTGTTGAAAAATTACGATTTAAAAAAAAAGTGTTATGCGATCCTATTTACTAGAAGTAGGTTCTCCTTCCTCAGTTATTCATCCTGGTCCGTCATTTTGACATTTTTAATCTAGCTGCGATAACGTAGCTTTCTGACGAAGAGCGATTTTTTTTTTATATATTGCGTCGTCGCGCCAGGGCAGGCCGGGTATTATATTAGTACTAATTTAAAACTTGCATGTCAAAACAAAAAACAATCGTTTAATTCAGCAATATAATTAAATCATACCATTTTACTGATCCCGGTAATATTATAAATTATGTAAATCTAATAGCGCACGTATCTCATTTGACCCCGAGCACCGACAGAGGATCAGAGAACAGAATACGCCGTGGCCATCACAGCAGTTATCCCTTGGGGGGCCTCATGGCAAAATCAAACTAACCAGTCACTTATCCCTTTCGTTTGCATAAACCACTGTATAATTATAAAAAACACAAAGTAAACTCTCTCCGATACATGCCCATTAACATATTAAACTAAGTTCATCTGTGTTCAAACTCACACAATGATACTAGCGAGGTTAATAGTTTTAGATATTTATTCATAACATAAACAGCGCTAGCATTTCTGTCGATTTTATTTCAGCTTAACCGGCCGCTATCCGGAAGAAAACATGCACCGTACTGACTGCTAGGGCAGTTATTTTCTGCTTTGAATACTTCCCACTGGCAATAATGATTCCGTAACGTACCCCTTGCGCTATCTTTTGACCATTTGGCAACTATTCGCTTCGTAGCTGACACGGTACAACACTTTTCTTTGGCTTACTTCACACGGCCAGTCATTTTGTTTACAAAGAAATGGTGTGCTATGCGCATGTGCTAGTAGAGGGAAATCCCTGAACAAAACGTTGGTCAGACAGGTAGAAATACCGATGATTATCTTAGATTTAATCATTTTTATGAATCTATTTCAGCCAAATCCGATCGGCATTTTCCATAAGGAGTCTCACTTGATATGTTTATGTAGTATTTGGAAAAAAGACAAAAAAAAGTCACTTCAGCGTGATGCCCCTTGAACATAATTACAACATTGTTATCTTACAGGTGTGCAAGGGTATCCATGAACTTCTCTTTTTTTGGCAGAACTTTTCATAGATATATTTCATTGCTTTCAGAATGTTTCAAATCTGGGTCCTGCCACTGATTTTTATAAGAAATTGGCCCTGGATTGTTCAGCTCAGCAGACCGCTGTAGACCTATTCATGTTGAATGGCCAATATGCCGACCTAGCCACAGTCTGTAAGTAACACTGCTATTGAGTTTGGCTAATATCTGGTGGCACGTGGCAAGTAGTTTTGAGTGTCATTTAAACGTATGTTTAGTCGCAGGTAGGCACATTTATAGTGCTTTGAAGATAAAATGCATTTGTTGGACCTTTGGTATATTGTATAAAAAAATAATATTTACAAGGTTGATGGGTACTTATCTATCTTATAGGTGTATGGGTTTGATATATATTAAGTCTAATTTTACCTGTAAAGGTACGATCACTTGTGCAGTAAATTCATACTGCACAAGTTATTAAACAATATAAACATCTTCTGCAAAAATAATCATGTATACACTGTTGTTATAGTTTGGCGCATTCTGCTTGTCACGATTATTCACACTGTTTGTTCCAGCTTGTATATCCAAGTACTCTGGTGGGACTGTGGAGTATTACCCATCCTTTCATGCAGTCAAGAATAGATCATTAGCAGATAAATTTGAAGAGGATCTTCGGAGGTATTTCACCAGGAAGATTGGATTTGAAGCAGTTATGAGGATACGCTGTACTAAAGGTAAGTACATATCTTAATTCGATCCTTTGATGTCGGCAACATCAGCTCCTTCATTTCAAAACTGTTTGTCTACCAAAGAAAGAGTCACCTATTTGTTTTTCTCATGGAGCTTTTGGAATGTTGTTTTCAGTTTACCTGACCTCTGATTTTTGTATGGTAATAGCTGTAGGAACGTCATCTTCAAAAATTTGTTTATGGCAAATTTCTAATACTTCTTCCAATTTGATTGATATTCTACAAAAGATAGAGAATTTAAACACCTCAGCTTTATATATTATATTATATAATTCCAGGACTAAGTATACATACTTTCCATGGCAACTTCTTTGTACGGTCAACTGACCTGCTGTCTCTACCAAACATCAACCCTGATGCTGGGTTTGGGATGCAGATGTCCATAGAGGATTCTCTCACTGAAACCAGCACAGCCTGTTTCCAAGCTGCCCTTCTATACACTTCTAGTAAAGGTAAATACCCTAAAAATCTATCAAGTCAATGTATATCAGCACTTATTTTTGTGTAAATGAGTGAGGTGATACAGTCAAAACTTAAATATTTTGTAGATTTGTTCAGACACAAATAATAATAATAATTAAAATGTGTCTTTGTTCCTCTCACAAATTAAAATTCTGATGTCGTTAAAAGGACAAGTACAATGTATTAAAACTATTCCTAAATATTGACTTGACATTTTCTATTTTTATCCAGCATTCATTTAAAGTGTCTGTGAAAATAAGTTGTTTCTAAATTGGTGTTGATTTTGATAATGCATAGATAGTAGCGTTTAATATTACTTATTTATATATTGTATGAATATGTTTATGAATGTGAAACAAATTTATGAATTGAAATATTGTTTTGATATGCGTTTGTGAAGTTGAAACGAATATGTGAATTGAAATATTGTTTTGATATGTTTTGTGAAGGTGAAACGAATATACGAATTGAAATATTGTTTTGATATGTGTTTGTGAAGGTGAAACGAATATGTGAATTGAAATATTGTTTTGATATATGTTTTGTGAAGGTGAGAGGAGGATACGAGTTCACACCATGTGCCTACCTGTGACAAACCAAATCAGTGAAGTGATCGCGGGAGCTGACCAGAAGGCCATCATTAATCTCCTAGCTAAGATGGGTGTGTGGGAAATCATTTTAACAATCTTTATGCTTTCTTGTGTAACTGAATCTCAAATTAATTTGTCAATTACTGGGATGATAGTCAACTGTAAACATATGTCCATTTATGATATATTTAGGATCAAAGTCCAGGTTTATTCAGGATCAAAGTCCAAATATGACCTAATACATGTTACTGATTTTATATTTAAAACTATATTTGCAGGTGCTGATCGCAGTGTCACATCCAGCATGTCTGATGCACGTGAGGCATTAATTAATGCTGCTATAGACTCGCTGTCCTCATTTGGAAATACCCTGCCTGCCTCACAGAGAATGGGTTGTCTTCCCACATCATTTTCCATCAGATTACTCCCCACTCTAGTCCTTGCTCTGCTCAAAAGTGTAAGTCTCATCACTAGGGAGTGTGGTTATCCAAATTTCTGATTCCTTTTACATCTATTGCAGGCATTGTGAGAAAAATGTTTGCTTTATACTTTAAGCAGTAATATTATTCCAGCATTGAATTGTGCATGCATATACAACACTAAATATTTGTTACAATTTGATCTACTACAGAAAAGTCTGGTTCTCATTTACATGGAATGACTGGTTTATCAAGTGTATGTCCAGCATTTGGGGAGCTAATCCTGGCAGATTCTTTAAGTGTTGATGCAGACCTTGAAATTCTTTACCAAAACCTTGATCTGATCAATAGATTTATTCTACTAAACCTTTTTTTTTCAAACCGTTAGCAGTATGATGAATAAAAGCTGCCAAGAAATGCTGAAATCTTCATGGTACCATGATAGAAATGTTTCCAGTGTATCAATCTTTAAAGACAGTAGATTTATTTCTGGAAAAATTAACTTCATGGTTGATTATAGACTGCTTTACTAAATAGGCAAGTTATGTGACCGATTTAATGCGGGAATTCCTTTTGGAGAATGTATATCTTTGTCATTGTAGTCTGCTTTCCGTCACGGTGTCAACACTCGACTGGATGACCGCGTGTTTGCATTACAACAATGTAAGAGCCTGCCTTTGCAGTACCTGCTCCAGACAATATACCCAGACTTGTACCCTGTACACAACATCGACGGCTGTGTAAGTACTAAAAGATAGCTTTGTAAATCTGTATACCCCTACAACGAAGTTAGGGGGGTATACTGGAATCACCCTGTCTGGATGTCGTCCACAGTTATTTGTCCGGAAAACTCCTCCTTAACTAACTGGTGGATTTCATTGAAACTTTGCATGAATGATCAGTATCTTATGTAGTTGTGCACTGGCATTTTAATTTGGGATTTCAACCCTTTTTGATGGAGTTATGCCCCTTTGTGCGAAATACTTGTCTGAGCAACTCCTCTTTAACTAACAGTGGATTTCATTGAAAGTTTGCATGAATGATCGGTATCTTATGTAGTTGTGTACTGGCATTTTAATTTGGGATTTTGACCCTTTTTGATGGAGTTATGCCCCTTTGTGCTAAATACTTGTCTGAGCAACTCATCTTTAACTAGCAGTGGATCTCATTGAAAGTTTGCATGAATGATCGGTATCTTATGTAGTTGTGCACTGGCATTTTAATTTGGGATTTCGACCCTTTTTGGTGGAGTTGTGCGAAATACTTGTCCGAGCAATTCCTCCTTAACTAACAGTTGGATTTGTGCACCAGCATTTTTATTTGAGATTTCGACCCTTTTTGATGGAGTTATGCCCCTTTGTGCGAAATACTTGTTTTATTTAGATAAGCAAAAGCATGGGCCCCAAACCTCTTGTTTGGTGCCTAGAATTGGAGGAAACATGTATTACAGCTTTATATTGGAGAAAATATCTGCATTACATCTTTCAGCAAAACTTGTTCATATGGGCAAACAAGTTTTGGTTTGCAGGTATGTTTTGGCATCGAGAGGGAGTACAGGAAGTATGTGAGTGACCTATATACTTAAAAAAGTGTACAGCTCAGCCAATAAAGAAATCATTACTGGTGGGAGACTATATTGCTTTGCATTAGTAAGCCTTTAGCTTACAGTTGTAGTCATTACAATTATCAGTTGCAGATAGAGACAACTGTAATATTGGATAATAATGTCTGTTACTACCGTTTTAAAAAAAAAATGTGAAATTCAATTTATTTTTTTTACCTTATCCTCCTGCAGCCTGTGGATGTGATTGATGATGAAGAGATACCAAATCCTGTGCTTTTACACTTGTCCTCGGCAAATGTTGACCGCCAGGGCGTGTATCTATTGGATGCCTATGACATGATGTACTTATATGTGGGCAGTGCCACCAGCAACCAGTTTTGTCAGGATGTGTTCAATGCACCCAACTATCAGTCCATCATGGACGGATTGGTATGTAGACCTCGCTCACAAGATCCTGTTTCTTTTCAAGTGTGAAATATGTAAACAATAGTTCCAAGATTCATAGAAGGAAAGCTGTGGTTTTTACAAACATTACTAACATTTTGTATGTTAGTCTGTAGTAATAGTTTCTGTTGGAGTTTGTGATATAGTTGTATCAAGAATAATGTGGAACTTTCAGGTTGTAGGCTACACAACCTCAAAAGTAAGATTCTATATGCAGATAAGCTGAAAATTTAAATATATGTAGACTAAAAGAGATAACATGTCATTTTTTGTCTCATTTACAGATTGATTTACCCGATTTAGATAATCCTGTGTCAGAAAAACTGCGCAACTTTGTAAGCTTTTTAATGGACAAAAGACCTGGAGGCTGTAGTTTCCTAGTCATCAAGTAAGTTGGATTACAACTTTCAATGTTATTAGCTAGCAAAATATTTTGCATTAAATCAATTAAAAATATTATAAATCAGTGTGTATCTACAAGATGTCCGTTTTTAATTTCAACCCAATGCAATTCAACAAAATATTTCAATATCTGAGAAGTCTTGTTAAATTTTGATGAAAGTTTCAGAAGAGAAATAATCCTGTACATACTTTAAAATCTTTTCTGATATCTCAATTTCAGAGAAGAAAGTAAAAACCGCCTGACATTCTTTGGATACATGATTGAGGACAGAACAGAGTCCACCATGTCTTACTATGAGTTCCTACAGCACATACAAAAGCAAGTGAAAAGTTGACGACGGCCATGAGCTTTTAGAACGTATTTAACAAAGGCATCGAGGCAGTGCTGGACTATATTGAATAGACAGACACATTAATGGACAGTGACACACCTGATCATTGTGATACTAGATAGAGAAGCCAGTTGTTGCCCTACAGCTGTAGTGGGACTTGATATCTAATTGGTCCCTGTGATAAATTACATGATAGACTGGATCTTTGGTAAGGCTTCCAGAGTTACGAGGAATTCTACGCGAGGTTCTCATCACTTATTGAGAAATCGAGAGTATTGCATTCAAATTTTAATGAATAGCCTGTGATAGATACAGATTGAATTAAAGATGTATTATCAACGCAAACAGTATAATGATAGTAGACCAATGACATGACAGTATAATTTATAAATATTTTGAAAGAGCACCTGTATAACTATGAGTATGAAACATGTGATACTGGTTCTTGCATGAACATAGTAGGCAGATTTTATATCACATGCTATTGAACCCAGATGATGATATAATTCATAACTTAGGTATTTAAATGATTTTTTTTTTTTAATCACAAATAAATGCATACTGAAGAATGAAATGGACTTGATTGATGTTTTAAATTAGTATGCCCAGATTCATCAGTTGACTGTTTTGAGAAAGTGTTTAACATTGTTCCAATAATATAACAATAGATCAGCCATCAGAGGCAACATTATATTATTGTAGGTCATACAAAAGTCATCGTTTATTGTACACAGACCATTAAACTAAAAGTATTACAGGGCAGCATCTGAAATAAGTTTCAGTGTATTTCTTCCAGTGGTTCAGAATTGGTTCAGAATTCTTCCAGTGGTTCAGAATTCTTCCAGTGGTTCAGAATTGGTTCAGAATTCTTCCAGTGGTTTAGAATTGAAAAACAAATTAAGTTATACATGTATCATACAACATATCACCAGCACCTCTCTTGAACCTATGAGGATTGTCTTGTAATAGACTTGCAATATTGTCTGTTCATTGGAATTTTCTAATGTCAAAATAGTTTTATGGTATGGACATCAGTGTTGTAAGATTTGTAAAAGTAATACATGTTCAGGGTAAGACAGGTATGTATCTGGAAGGATCACATCACTAATCAGATTCTCACTTGATCTGGGTATGGTTTTCTCCTGTCATCGAGATCAAATGCACCTACTATTGGTGACTCTGTAATTACCCTTGACAAACCTGCCAAGCCATGGAATGTCATAATCTAGTCAGTGACCAAAGAATGAAAGGTTTTCGTCACCAATAGGCTTCATCTAGTATAATTTCCAGTCATTTAAAGCATAATAATCATCAAATTCATTTCATTCTAAGTTGAGTTTCCCTTTTGCATGCTTGACAATTGTTATAAATACCTGTTCATGTACAAATTTCCAACAAAGGAATGTTTTTTGTAATTTCAAGCATATATAGTATTCCTTTTGAAGCATTACACAATACTGCCACTATAACAGAAAACTTTTCATATATCTAGAAGTAGTGCCAAATGGTAAATATTGTTTTCTTATTAAGTTACTTTTGTCACACAGCTTATGCTTATACTCTGTCTATCTTTGTTGTTAAATATTAATTTTTCATTAAACTTGGTGAAATAGTGCAATGGACTTGCCTATAATTTTATTTCGTCATTGGTTCATACATGGTACATACAAATTAATCATATACCAATTGTAATGGTTACAGATAATGTAAGCCTATTTTAAAATTTTAACATATTTATAGAAAAGGAAAAATATTTTAACAGTCAGCTATTTGTCTGAAAGATTAAATGCAAGAAAATACCAGGCTGGGCATTGAATTATTGTTGAGGACATTCAGCTGGGTTTCCTTGTAAGCAAGAACATTATCTTCACGCTGGGTTGGAGTACCAACTTTAAATCAGGCTGCATAAAGAATTTTTATGTGAAAAGTAGTATTTATTAGCAAGATGTACTGTAGATACCTTCCTTATATTTCCAATGATCTGAATAACTGGTGCAAGTTCTTTGTTCCAAAACTTGTCCAATTAGGGTTCTATTTATAAGTCTTTCCATTGGTGTTGTATTTATAATGTGAAAATGTCACTATTTACTTCAAATTCAAAAATGGGTTCCGAGGTCTAGGATAGGCATGTATAAATAAACATTCTAAGAAATAATGAGATAGGTAGAATTTGATTAAAACATTGTGTCTACACCTCAAAGAAGTTTCTCTTTAATTAAAATATTGTTAATATGTAACTGACCATCTGACACCATGATATTGATGTGTAACGAATGTGGTGGACCAGTTGTTACCTGTCACCACACATTCCCTCACAAAAGGTCTACTTCTACTGTTTGTATTTTTGTGTGTAGTTTTGCTCAACTTCTCAATGTTCTAGGGCATTGGTTGTTCTAGTCCCTACCTATCATCTCGGAGTTGAAATATGTCTCAAGCCAGTTCATTTTCTAAACGATAACATGTCCCAACTGAAATTCAGTGTCCCCGTGTATTGTTGCATTATTCATCCGATGATTTCAACATATCATTAATGGACTTCATCTTACATAATTGATAATAAAGGTAATAAGGTCTGCTAATAAACTGAGGAAAATTGACAAATTTTATTGAGAGAAAAATATGAGCATATGTTAGTTCTATCAAATGTCTGAAACACAAAATTATGTTCTTTTAACCAGATTTAATTACTAAATTAATTGATTTGTTCTTCATTTCATGATGTACAGGTTGGACATGATATAATCATGTCACCGTTCCTAATGGTCTATGCCATACGACTTCAGTGAGAAAGCCATAATAGCACTGTAGGGGTGGAGGAGCTTAATCAGACGATAAATTGATAATGATAACATTATGCAATATCACACATTACTCAATCTCAAATCAAATTAAACAGTATCGCAGGTTTTCAGTTCCTTCATACGTGCAGTGAACCAAGATTGTATTTTGTATTAAGCTGTTTTTTGTACAGTGGTTAATATCGCTAACAATATTGACGCCACTGAAAGAAACTTAGTTTGTGAAGTGAGAAAAGGTGAAGCTTGTTGAAATTATTTGTATACAATGTATATATAATTTTATTTATGTATCGAGAGGTTTTTTTTTATTTAAAGTCACTGTATAATGAGAATGGTGCTTATACTGAAGTGTGTAAAAGTGTTTGTGGTCGATTTTGATTGTTTATTTTCCCCTTGGAATTATTTGTAAATATTCCATTATAATATAATGAAATATCACCGCCTTTGACCATTTTGGCAAAGCTTAACACGTGAGAATTGAGTGTATTTTGGACATACGCAAGAGTTGTTCATCTTTCCTATCCCATGCCTGTAACGGCTACTGAGGGACAAGTTGTGATATGAACACTCAAAAACAATAATAAAATCATCAACAGATCTAGATCATAGTTTGGTTTTAGTTATTTGAATATTTTGTTGTCAGTGTTGACAAGAGTTCAGTCCTGGCTCTGAGATCAAATACAAATATTGTTCCATTTTTCAGTGCTGTATCAGATTGTGATTCAGATATACAAGTCTACATCCACATTTTATTTTCATGTACAATTGTTTTACAATTTTGACCCATTTCTATGATAAATAGACTTGAGCTTAAAGTCTGTTTCATGATTGTTGTGTGCCAGAGCTGGGAAAAAGACACGAGTCACTTTAATTTGAGAAATATTTTAACACCAGTTGATCAAATATTTTAAAACGGAAATTTATGAACTTGGCGAAAAGTAAGAGTCAACACTGAAAAACTGAACTAGTTTCTTTTATACTTGATTTTCTAAAGCAATGATTCTATTCATAAATATATTGTCATATTTATATTGAATGGTATCTAGTTGAAAGTTTGGTTTGAGAAGGTTTTCAAATTAGACAAACATTGGACAAATTATACCCAATACAGCAGAAAGGAAGGAAAACAAAACTGCAGATACAACTTTTTATTTTGTTTGTGAAGTTGATTGCTCTTTCTTTCAATGTGATCTCAACTGTCCAAGAATGATAATATGTAACAACCTGGTCATAACAAAAACAATCTAAATTGACTTTAACAGAGGAGAATAAAAAGGGGTGAAGCATAAGATTTCCTGTTCACAGAGTGATGGTCGTCATTGCTTCATTTAACAACAAAATTTGGCTCTTTTCTGTATTGAATCCCGCCTTTTTATAATCAATGAAGTTCAATGCTGTAGTGTGGCTGGGTTTGGGAGTTTGTGAGGTTAAGTTATGCCTTGGTCATTACATTGAAGCAGTGCTGTTAGAGCATCCCTGTGTTTGGAAAGCACTTCCTCCGAAAGGATTTCCATCACCTTTGAAACAAGGAATACATTTATATTACACAAAGAATGTTCACTTCTTACATGCATAATGAATAATTTTTGGTAAGCTTGACATGATAGACATGCAAATACTTTTGATTTTTCACTGATTATATTCTGTTAGGACTGATCTATTCTTTGAAATAAGTGATACACTAATTAATATCTACATGGAAGAAACATTGTTTAAAGAAAACTTACATGATATGAAAAAAAAAAAAAAAAATGCAGAGCATGTTAAATAGAGGTTCCCCAAGTGGTGGTTTGTTATCATGTTTATCTACAATGTAAATATCGTTAGTTAATTTCCAAATTGTATAAAGATACGAGATTTACCGAGAGTTACATAAACTTGATAACAACCCATCACAAGTTTCTGCCAGGGTGGTTATCAAAAATGTTTACCAATTCCTAGCAGGTTTATCCAATAAGACGGGCGTGTGGAAACCTCAAGTGATTGATGGAGAATTTAATGTTAACAAATATAACTGATTTGGAAGAAATCTTCCCTCTAATTATGTACCTTTTTGATAAGGTCCTGTATATTGTGCCTGATCATCGGGCTGAGGTTTGTCACATCCTGATGCAGTAAAAAGTTCAGTAGTGTAGACACCAGCTGTGAGGATGGCCCCTGACCTGAAACCAGCTGTGAGGATGGCCCCTGACCTGACACAGGCTTTGAGGATGGCCCCTGACCTGACACAGGCTTTGAGGACGACCCCTGACCTGACACAGGCTTTGAGGACGGCCCCTGACCTGACACAGGCTTTGAGGACAGCCCCTGACCTGACACAGGCTTTGAGGACGGCCCCTGACCAGACATCAGTTGTGAGTGTGTCCCTTGCCCAGATACCAGCTGTGAGGAGATTCCCTTCCCATACAACACCTTAGGATTAAATGCATTACCTTAGTCATTTGTTATGGCAAAATATTGTGATTAAATAGAGATCATTTTACAATTTTGATATCATACCTCTCATCAGCCTAAGAGTAGCAATATCAGACATAGGGGCGGAAGGCCGTAAGGGCCGATAACTGGGGCTGATAAGGGGTATGATATCTAATTGGTTATACATATGTAATTAAACTGTTATTAACAATATCTGTTAAACATGACAAATGAAGTAAAATATTCACTATTTCCTATCATAACACACACATATTTCCACCAATCCCTGTCTGTTTTTCTCTGTGCTCCGATTCTACACAGATCTACTTAGCTTCTTCACAAAACCTTTCCTTTTATTCCTTTTTCCAGCATTCCCTATTAAATCTTCTAATTCTAATATCAGTAATGAATCTTCTCTCTACAGCCACCCAACATTTCTAACAGCACAGTAAGCAACAACATGCAAATTGTGTAAAATTTGAAATGACAGTGATGCAATTTCTGGATTCAGTTTGGACCGGTTTCGACATTTTCTTTATACAAAACATAGGTAGTAGAATTCTGAACAGAGGGGGTAAATAAGAAACTTTGTACCTGAGGTGCATTATGAGGAATTTTAACACATGGCTGGTGCAAGGCCATATCATGAAAGTTGAGAAAGTATCACATATGCGATAATACTTGAATTGTGAGTAGATCGAATACTGAATACTAACCTGCTGTACTAGTAGGATGGTACTGTGTAGATTTTCCTCATCACCAGGGTTGTTGTATGTCTGTAACATCACCTCCAACATTAAGGAGTTCCATGGATGAGTCCTTAGGTGCAGTTCTAAAGTTGTAAAGCAACACACTGAATTTTTAATAAGCACCTTCAGAACTGGATTCAAAAACATCTCTCCTCTTATTAGCAATATGGACATTTCTTTGGAACTTATTTGTCTTTTGAAAACTGATTAACTCATCAGCGATATCTTAATTATGTACTAGAAAAAGTGTTAAGAAAGACACAGAATTGGGAATTGAGACGGAGCAGACATGCCCCCACCCCACTAAAATGGCAGGGGAATCTATAACACAAGATTTGGGGATTTTACAATGTTTTTATTAGCTCACCTGCCCGAAGGGCAAGTGAGCTTATGTTATGGTGCGGCGTCCGTCGTCCGTCTGTCCGGCGTCAACTTTTTACTTTAAACAACTTCTTCTCAATAACCAAAAGGCCCAGGGTACTGATATTAGGCCTGTAGCATGCTTGGATGAAGGGCTACCAAGTTTGTTCAAATGAATGACCTTGACCCACTTTCAAGGTCACTGGGGTCAGATGTCATAAAATCTTCAAACAACTTCTTCTCAATAAACAAAAGGCCCAGGGTACTTATATTGGGCCTGTAGCATGCTGGGATGAAGGGCTACCAAGTTTGTTCAAATGAATGACCTTGATCCACTTTCAACCTGATGTCCTTGTTCGACATTCAAGGTCACAGGCGTCATATGTTTAAATCTTTTAATAGGTTCTTATGAATCAAACACTAATATTCTGCCTGTAGCTGTATTTTAGTCCACTTTTAAGATTACAAGTGTGAGATTAATACCAGGTGAGCGATGCAGGCCCATTGGGCCTCTTGTTATCTGTAATGTAATTCCAGATATAACATCAGTACATATGTCTAAATAACATCTTCAATTACAGTATTTTTAAAAAGAGGCTAATAATATCTTCTAAAATTATTGATTGTATCATTGGGAGGCTATCACCAGCCCTGAGATAACTTTACCTAAAGTAGGATCAACAGTATGAAGGTAACACAAGATGGATTGTATACACTGGACAGAACAAGTCTTGGCCTCGACCAACTCCTACAACAGACCAGGAACACAAGGATAAGTACGATATATATCATCTCATTACAACACTGCCTTTATCAGGGACGTAACATGTTCTGTGTCAAGGACACTTGTGTCTTATTTTTCAATTTCCATCCCTGAATGTCATATCAACACTCAGATATTCAATACAGTTTATAAAAGTAAAACTTGGCTGAACCAGGTTCAATGTTTTTATTTGGAATTGATAGGTAGGTATCTGTACTACAGAGATTTAATTTATATAAACTGGTACAAACTTATACATACAATCTGGCCACAGTGAATTGTTCTGGTTTATTCAACATTCTGGATAATGCAGAATTCCATTTCAAGAGGTGAAATTGTAGGCAAATACATTAATAATCATCAAATTTCTATACGTTAATCCTCATCATATTGGCCCCTGACCTGTAGCACAAGCTGCTGAAGATGGAGGTAGACCTCACGGATCTCGCGGGATGTGAAGGGACATTCAGGGTGTGGTGGGTAGCGCTGTGTGTGGGCCAGAATCAGCACACTGCTGCTGAAGTGGTACCGGAACAGGACACACAGGAGGTCCAGTCGGGTGAGTAGAAGTGCAGGGTGGTCAGTGTCCAGGTACTGGCTTATTGGCAAAAAGTCCATCTTCATGGGCCGGGTACACTGTAATGTTGCCACACAGGGTCAGACCATTTAAAATTCTTCACACATGGTCAGACAAAGCATATTTGTGAAGGTACGGTATTAACCTACAGAACAAATTGAACATTCAGTACAGGAAAATGTCTCCTTTGAGCCAGGTGAGTCTTCAAATGGTATTATTTACCTGAACAAAAGTCCATAATTAATAAATAAAAAAAGTCTATAATAGATAAATAAACTAGAGCCCATGAGCCTTAACGATCACCTGATATATTTATACAGAGAGTTGATTTTGTTTTTAACATGAACAGAAATATTATTCAAAGTAACAAAAAACAATAAAACCACCTTATTCAATATCTAGCATACAGATTTCAGACTAAAAAGTATTTGAAAGTAGCACCTCTGATTCTAAACAAGGAAAATGAAGAAATTTTAGCACACTGACTCCTTTGGGCCCCACCCTACAGCCCTTGGGGGTAGGGCTGGCTCAATTTTTTCAAAGTATCACACTGTCAACTCAAGGTTATAATTCAAATCAAGTTATTAACATGTTATATTCAAAGTATCATTTGCCATTATAAACCATAATAAATTTTGCCCCCTCCTTCCCCCTCAGCCCCTGGGGGTCAGTCAGGGCTGATATGTGATATGTGCTTACTATCAAACTGCTACCTAATACTGATAATGCTAACCTAAATTGAATTACTTCCAATGGAAATTAAACAAATGTTGGTCCAAAATGTGATTTCCCTAAATAAACTATAGTAAACGTGAGACCCCAGGGTCATAAAAATTCACAATTTTGGTAAAACACCTTAAGACCCTTCCATCTATGAAGAGTATTTGATTCTACCATATCTTGGTCTTGAGAAGAAGATTTTTGAAATTTCAGTCAAATTGACGCTTTATTGCCCCACCCATCAGCCCCTGGGAGTCAGTCAGGGCTGATATGTGCTTACTATCAAACTGCTACCTAATACTGATAATGCTAACCTAAATTGAATTACTTCCAATGGAAATTAAACAAATGTTGGTCCAAAATGTGATTTCTCTATATAAACTATAGTAAAGTTTACCCCCTCCCCAGGGGGAAACGTGAGACCCCAGGGTCAAGAAATTCACAATTTTGGTAAAGCACCTTAAGACCCTTCCATCTAAGAAGAGTATTTGATTCTACCATATCTGGGTCTTGAGAAGAAGATTTTTGAAATTTTACGACAACGCCGGACAAAAGGTGACATAAAAAGGCCAAAATTGGTAAATACCTGATGTTGTGACAGGCTAGATGTATAGTGTACCATTTGCACCACGACACTGACAGCCACAGAGGCTAGAGTGGGGTTAGTACTGGCACACAGGTTCTCCAATCTACCCAACATGTCTTCATTTTGTATCACCAAGGACAATACTGAAACAATAATAAAAACATCACTGAATTGTCAAAAGGACAGCTTTGATACTAAAAATTGACAACATTGATAGACCAAACATCACTTGACCAGCAAAACACTACTGAAGCACCAAAACAACATTGAATTCCCAAAATGACAGCACTGAAACACCAAAACAACAGAAGAGTTAAAACGTAAACCATATATATTTACATAACAGTGTGCCCACCTCTGTGTGTAGAAGCTGTGTCAGGCCCCTGGACACTCGTTTGGATGTATTGGACACAGGTCAGTAGCAGAGACATCGGAATGGTGGTGTTACATCCAGCAAACTTGGTGACTGGAAAAACAACACTTGTTGTGAAAGGCAGTACCACCAAACAACTTTTGGTTGTAGCCATAGTAAATAGTAGTCTTAATGTTATCTGTGTGCATACATTTTATAGAATCAAAGATTAAATTCAAAATAGCCACCTTCATCTTAATTTTTTTCAAAAAAAACAGGTAAGTCTGCATAAGGGCAAATATGCGAAGTGGTCTAGTCATAGTATGGAAAGATGTTATGCTGTACTGAGATATAGAAATGTAACAGTTAGAATAATAGGAAAATTCTCACTCCATTCACAATTCAGTGATTGTGACAGAACTATTTGCCCCATATATTACTGCCCATTCCACTAAGGAATGGCACCATGTGGCTCATATGCTAGTTCATATCCCATTCTATGATGGCTGTGACTTACCATGGTAGAGGATTTTGATGTCAGAAGTAGATACAGCTGTGTTTTGAACTTGTTGTTTACAGAATAGATGGAGAACCAGTAATGCCTCAAGACCAGCTTCTGTGGGGACAAACATATTAATCATAAACTACACAGTCAGAGCAGCCTTTTTGGGGAAAATCATACTGGTCCCAAACTCTACACATAGCCAAAAACAGTCTGTGGGGACAATCGTACTGGTCCCAAACTCTACACATAGACAAAAACAGTCTGTGGGGACAATCATACTGGTCCGAAGCTATACAAATAACCAAAGCTGTCTCTGTGTGAATGGTCATACTGGTCCCAAACTCTACACATAGAAAAAAAACAGTCTGTGGGGACAATCATACTGGTCCCAAACTCTACACATAGCCAAAAACAGTCTGTGGGGACAATCGTACTGGTCCCAAACTCTACACATAGCCAAAAACAGTCTGTGGGGACAATCATACTGGTCCTAAGCTATACAAATAACCAAAGCTGTCTCTGTGTGAACGATCATACTGGTCCCAAACTCTACACATAGACAAAAACAGTCTGTGGGGACAATCATACTGGTCCTAAGCTATACACATAGCCAAAAACAGTCTGTGGGGACAATCATACTGGTCCGAAGCTATACAAATAACCAAAGCTGTCTCTGTGTGACCAATCATACTGGTCCTAAACTCTACACATAGACAAAAACAGTCTATGGGGGACAATCATACTGGTCCTAAGCTATACACATAGCCAAAAACAGTCTGTGGGGACGATCATACTGGTCCTAAGCTCTACACATAGACAAAAACAGTCTTTGGGGGACAATCATACTGGTCCGAAGCCATACAAATAACCAAAGCTGTCTCTGTGTGACCAATCATACTGGTCCTAAGCTATACACATAGCCAAAAACAGTCTGTGGGGACAATCATACTGATCCGAAGCTATACAAATAACCAAAGCTGTCTCTGTGTGACCAATCATACTGGTCCTAAACTCTACACATAATCAAAAGCAGTCTATGGGGGACAATATCATATTGCAGATATAACAGCATAGCAAGTTTGAATACCGTAGCTTGTGTGTTATGGTGGTAAAGACAGGCTCCAGACAGTTTTTTAATGCAATGTGATTTGTAGGTCAAATTGTAAAAGAAGGTCAATGTGACCTTGTTCTGGTAATAATCCTCTTAGTTAGAGTAAGGAAGACACTCTATGAATATATTCTTAATGTAATATAGGTCAGAGATATATAAAAAAAAAAAAAGTAGGCCAGAGTGACTCAGTTTTGGTGCATGCCATTATATCTCTCTGAGAAGTAGGGGTACTACCATACCAAATTTTATAATCCTACACCAAACGGTTAGAAAATGATATGGACAAACAACTGTGCATTAAAGACGAAAAAAGGGCCATCAATCCTACAAAATGCCGTAAATCAAAATTGTATTTCTTTACACCCATCACAGGTAAACAAACATTCCATATAATGTACGGAAAATTGGGACAAAGGTTGTGTAGCAATTAAATAGATACGGGACTTGAGACACGGATAGACAGAGGGTATTAACATGTTTTCACACCAATATGACCATGTTGTAGATTGGGACAATTAAAACTTAAATGTTAATAGGAGCTAGAAACTGATTGACATATGCAACTATAAAATTTGTTACTGAAAAGAATGATTTTTTATGTTGATGACTAAATTTATTTTTAAAGCATTTTCCCATTATTAATTGCATGAACAATATTGCTCCATACTGACCATGTTGACCCTTGTCCAGGAACATCTGTTGTAGAGAGTCAGCAGTGCGTCCACTAAGGTATAACAGGTAGTCTGTCCTCTCATCAGGATCAATCACCTAATCAAAAGAACATTTCCGAAATCGTCAACATGATATTGTAGAATAAGGATCTTTTGATTACAAACAGAATTTAAAAGACAAAATGAGCAGACAGCATCATTCTCCCTTGTATTTTATGGACAAAGCTTTTTGTGGAAAAAATAAGTACAATTGTGTGTAAATGTTAAATTTATTAAAGGCACATGATCAATATATCAGGATCTCAAAACAAAAATATCTCAATTTCATACGAGAATTATTTGAATCTGTTATCACCATTGCAATGTTGATGTTGATGTATTCACTAAAAACACTCTATCGTAATAATAAAAGATCATCTATGATTCTTTATTTTTTATTTACCTGGTCAGCAAAACTACACAGGATGTACTTAGTAACTCTGAGAACAGCCTCATTTGATGTGAGAAATAAGTTCTGTAACAATTTAATAACAGAGCATGGTGTTAAGTTATGTAATAATAAAGAGATTCTGCAACTTCTGATAAAGCATCAGATTCTTAATAAGGAAAAAGCTTTTGTTTGTGGATAACTTAAAGTTTAAAAGATCATTACAACTATTTGGTGTAATATTTCATTTGCAAAGTTGATTATCCATTCAAATACTCTTGATATTTATGAAGAGTCCTTTTGATTTTGAGCTTCACAGTCACTGTATCTAGAATACTGCAGAGATTGATAAGGTTATCAGTCTTTTGAAAGTAGAAAGTTTGACTGCAAGAATCTTCTTGAAAAAAAAGTGACAAACAATAAACATCTTGTTATACTGTTTTAACATTTTGAGAGCATGTTATTGACAATCTTACCTGGAGAACGTCAACTACACATTTCTCCCTACAGAGCTGTAATAGGGACCTAACATCAGGATGGTCTCTCAGCCACACCTCCGCTCCCCCAGGGTCTCGGTCTTCCTGGGAAAAAGGGCCACATAGACGACCCAGCCATGCCTCTACCTGTCAACACAGAATTTTACTTGTAGTAGACTGAACATACTCTAGATAGTTATGTTCAAATTTGATTTTACAATCTCATTTGCTATACTTCAACTTGCCACTTTATGTACTTAACTCACCCCTTTGTGGTTTACTCACTATTTAGTCTATTTTATTTTATTCACCACTTTGTGACGCTCACTTCTTTTGTGTGCTTACTCCATCACTTTTTTTTTTTATAGTTTGCTTGCTTAGTTTACTCACCACTTTGTGTGCACAAGTCCTGCTGAGCTGCTGGTGTTGACATGTCCAGCGCAGAACGGCCAGATGGTGAGTATACAATTCCTCAACTGAGCACTCTGTCAGCAGCTTGGACAAAATTGCAGTTACTGTGTATACAAGGAAATAAATCATCAGATACCACTCAAATACATAAAATCACAAGAGGAACACTGGGCATGTATCACCCTTCAGCAAAGGACCAAATGAGCATTAAAATATTCCCTGTTGTTGTCTGGACATGAGTTACATGAAACAGGTAAAATACATACCTGACTTAAGCTTCTGACCAAAATATTTTTCATTTTTAAATATGTATATTTAAATGGTAAAGAAAAAAACACATTAACCTGGTTATCTCTCACAGTTAAATCTTGAATCTTCGTCACATATGATTTGACAAAAGGTATAACCTATGCCTTTTGGAACATCAAGAAAAACTTAACAAGGAAATTGATCAATTCCAAAACCATGGTTAACTCACTTTGATTATCTTGTTCATCTTGAGAATCAGCACTCAGACAAAAAGCCATCTATAACATAAATAACGGGATAACAACATAAGTCAATTATCTGTATGAGACTCCAAAAGCATATTTTGTTTCTGTCACATGTAATTCTCAAATTTCAAAATGAATTCTATGGAATTCTCAAAAAGGATATCTACAATAATTTGGTTTGATTTGATGCAATATTTGATATATTTCACCTATAAACAACACTTTTCATGGAAGTGTGAACATTTGAAAAGACACATTAAAGTACACTAGACTTACAGCTGTTAGAAAAATATAATGTTTCTTTGCAAGGGGAGACAACTCCTCTAATCCTATTTCTGTTGCACAAATCTCCCTAAGAACAGTCTGCAAGTCCAACCCAGATAGTATCCTGGCAAGGAAAGGTGGTCATCAAAGTTTACATTGACAGTAAGAGTAAAATATTTTCAATAATCTGAACTTTTTTGATACCTTCAATAAGATTTAACATTTTTTTTTACAATAGCCTGGAAAATAAACGTTTTTTAACCAATCACTTTTCATTAAAGAGGTTTAATTATCAATGACACATTCATTCCATTACACAATGGGGGTGTATCATTCTGTCGACCAGTAATATAGTCATACAACAGACAACTCTTGGAAACTGAAGAAGCCATCACTTAGTGCGTAACATACTGCTATCTAATTTTACCAGTAACATAAACACTTCCATATCCTTACCAGTAACAAACTGCTATCTAATTTTACCAGTAACATAAATACTTCCATATCCTTACCAGTAACAAACTGCTATCTAATTTTACCAGTAACATAGGTAACTAAGGGTCTGATTTTAATCGTTGATAGCCTTAGTTAAACGTTTGAAAAGCTTAGTAGACTGGAAAAAGCAGTGTAATTGTCAAATTCAGAACGGAACAAACATGGCATTATGACTATTTGATTCTACCAGAATATCTCGTGGGTATTTTGCTAAGAAATAGCAATTTTAAATATAGAGTACATACATTTCATCATTTTTGAAAGCATGATACAACAGAAACAGGTACACAGTCTTGGTTTCGATCTTCAGAGAAACTTGTGAGACAATTCTTGGTAGATCTTGAAGTCTATCTGCAATGAAACCAAATAGCAATATGAGTGGAAAGTACTCTATGTATTTGGTATAAACCTGTGGTGTATTCAAAAGCTTGGTATCCTCTAGCATGTTACTGTATACTGTGTATGGATACCTACACGGTATGGAATAATGTATACCAGGAAATTTTCACTTCAGTTTATTTTTTTTGACTTTTTGATCCATCATAATGGGGACATTTTTATCATGACATTGAATATTAATACACAGTAGGCCATCTGTAGAAATCATATGCGAAGGGCAACATTTGCGAATATGGATTTTTCCCACAGATACCCAAGCTGTACGGGATATTCTTAAGAGATAATGTATATGTATGGAATATTAACCCTTAAAGGGATCATATGGAAGAATACACAGTATGGAAAGTCCTGAGCATATGGTTAACTACTCATTACAAAATAGTCCTGAGAAGGAGCTCATGGGAACATACATATACACTGATTGGAACAATCCTGACAGGGAGCAAATGGGTACCTACACTGTATGCCCTCCAAGGTTTCCGAGGTCCAGACTGGAAACGGGTGTACTGAGGGGCTGTCCCTGTCGTGTAACACCTGACACATCACCAGTAAACAGTCGGCTACCATACTCCTACTCGTCCTGGTCACACTACAACATATTGACATACACAGTGACATCATGTAACACCCGGAATATCTTCAAAACAGTGTTTTTATATGTTAGAAATATACGCAACACAATACTATGAAATATATTTTTAGCTATATCCTAAAAGTAATTTATCATTGGCCATAAAGTCCTTTTACAATGTACATTGTTTTAGCAAGACACAACAGTACTTTAAGGCAATGGGTACCAGTCTGCATCAGTTGTAATTCTCAAAGAAGAGTTTCATTCAAATCTCTCTTGTCTTGGAGTATTCTCCCTTCTATAAATAGAAGATGTTGCACCCAAAAGAAATTGGACACTCATTATGATATATGCTGCACTTGTATAATTCCTGCATGGACGAATTGGTTGAGTGGTTAACACTCTGGCCTTCCATGCAGGTGGAGTATAAAATGGTCTGGGGTGGATGTTGCGGTATCTGTGCTGTAGCATTAAAGTGAGGTGGCAATATAAATGATGCCGTTGGAAGCACGGTCTCTCTACAAACAGAACACATTACATCTCCAGCACACAGGCAGGCATAAACACATAGGGAGATATTAGCCAGGTGGCATAGGACTAGTAGTTAGTGCCTGATAAGGCAGCTCCTGCAAATTCCTCAAAAATTGTATTGATTTATGTATATGTATGCTAATTGTGTTAATTGTATATCTATGTACTGTAAAGCGTTTTAGAGTCGCTGATGTTAGCTAGATAGGGTGCTATATCAAATGCTGTATATTATGGAAACATTGCTAAAATGCAGACTTGGTCCCGAGTTCAACCCCTATAGCTTTCTTGTTTTATTATCATTTATTAATATTTTATATTTTCAAATATTCAAATTTCAAACAATTACCATTCTGTATCACTACTTCTGTACTTTACTCTTACACAGGTTCAAATACACAAATTGTTATCATAATTGAATATAAATAATACTTGTATCAACAATCCTTATCCCCATTTATTTTCACAAATTATCTCCCTTGCATTGCTCACTTCACATACATAAGCATCACTGTCTGTATTTCCTATGTTAATATTAACACTGATGTCTACCAGAAAGTCTATAGGTGGTCAGTTTTAGATGTGTCCACTACCTATGTTGTGTATGAATGTCCAGGATTCTGGTCAACACACCGGTGACACAAAGTCGATGGATCACGCCAGACATTGAGCTGGTGTCCAGTTCATACAGCTGACATATCAACTTGGACAGGCTTCCTAGCAAGTCCGCATCCTCTGTCTGATCCAGTTCATCCTGCAACATCAGAAACATGTCAATAATTTCTGCTGGTATCTTTTCTGAAATATTCATGCCTTGGATAAGTTTAACATCCTACAAAGCACTCTCGAGCTACAAAGAACCCTTTGGAACATGGTTCATCAATCTGTTTTCTCATTTGAAATTGAAACAAATTCAAGAACCAAAAATATTTGTACTTAATCATCATCCAAAAAAAAAAAGTGTTCTCTGACCAATAGCAAGTCTTTAACAGTGTCATCTGTCTTTGTGTCTATTATCTTACTTCTGACATCACAGTAGGTATTAAATCTTACCGATTCCGCATGTGCTGCGCCAAATTGTAGCGCATAAGCTATGTGTGTTGAGTGTTGAAAAGATTTTGCTTGATCTAATGAATGAACAGATAATTGGGATAAAAAACACGAAAGTAGTTTTGTATTTATTGTTAGGTTGGTTCGTGTAAATTGTCTTTGAACGTTGACTACTGCGATACCATAGAACTCCAGGCTACATAATATACATTGTACACATACTTCATGCCACTGAATGTCAAGTACCAGATGTGTATTTATGGAACTGTAAAATGTTGTATTTTCTTTTCAATTTTGAGCACCATGGCTTATACAAATATTCATTTTTATGTGAATGAATAAAGACTAACACCATAATTATCTCAGTAAATTCAACTAATCAATTAAACGAAAAAAACTTCCTTACAGTATTTTTCTGTGAATTCATACAGTACAAAAGTAAATTAACTCTAAGCCATTTCAATCAATTATTTTCGTCCTTTGTTTTAAAATTTCAATTAATTTCAAAGATAGGAAACAATGCAATTGTTTACATGAAACAAGAATAATTAACAATAACAATCAGCCTACCATTACTAAAGGGATACAACTTTCAGCACTGGAGTTGAGTAGGAAATCCTGGAACCTTTGGACTGAGGTTCTGTGATTGTCGGAAACACAGGGGGCTGAGAACGTGGACACAGACGCCTTCGGGTCGTTAATACAGGCCTGCAGCAACCTATGGACATGTCCAAAACATAAAAAAAGATAAATCAACAGAACCACATAATCAGTCAATCTATTTTACAATTGTATTTTACAGTGCAAATCATGACTTGCATACCTACATGTAAACATTTATGTTCTTCAGAATTGTAAACAATTTTGCTCAAGTGACAAACATTTAATATAAAATTGTAGACGTTGACAACCTGAAACAAGTAATCTTATGCTTGACCAATCTTTTGATCAAAATCTGTTAAAAATCTTAGTCAATAGAGCCATGACAAAGATTTTATTAGTCATATTAGTGGTGACCTTGACACAAACTTGTTTGAAATTACAAGCATCCTCTGTAACAAACATGGGCAGTATCTGGTTAAACGAGCAGCAGTTATGTTGTCCATCAATCATTTGTATCTTATGACCAAATAATCTCAAAAGTAATTCCATAAATCCTCTCCTCAGAACCAACTTGTTTACCTGGTTACCATATATGGGTAGGACCGCCCTAGTTAAATGATATTTATTGTCTGGGCAGACAGCACGAAAGCAATGTCTCCTCACCACTCACACCAGTTGGAGTGTATAACCAAACTACTCAGTAGTGAAGCAGACCTAAAGCCACTCAAACAAACAACCTGGACCGTCTAAATCATCCCATGGTTTGCATTATTCTCTGATTTTCATTGAAAGTGATAAATACCCTTAATAGCTATAACTTACATAGAAAGCAGGATAAGATTGTGTTTTAATTGTCTACATTAAATTTGAATCTGTTTACTTTCTGGAACTCAATGTTTGAACTTTACCAGAAATAGCTTGTGGTATTTATCCAGACAGCATCAAACAATAACTGGTGGAATGTCCAAAAGTCATGATATCTATTACACATATGTACACATTGAGAATTATCAATCTACCACCCAAACATAAAATGTAAAATATCTGTCTAGTAAAAAATCAGAAGGATCCCTGTAATTCAGTCTAAAACATTTGGATGATTCATAAGAGAAACCTGTGGCAACTTTACAGCTGCCTCAGCCTGTTTGTAAAAAATAGTTGCAAAACTTGTTTGTCTGGCTCAGCCAACATACCATGAGAGCTGTGATACTTGGTGTTGTAAATATATTTAAGCCCTGAACAACCTTTGCTGGTTAACCAGGCCTGAAACAACAGTCCATGGCTGCCAGAGCCTGTATGTGTTATATCAACATAATAACAGTTTGACCCCCTGACAGTGTGAGACTTTAACATGTTATTTAATCTCTAGATTGCCATTGTAAATACTGGGTATCATACATGAATGTACACATGAAAATGAAACTAATAAATATCAAATAAATGATGCCATTAATCAGTATGAGTTCTTTGACATGTCACCTTGACCTTTAACATTCAATAATTACTTGACCTTTGACTCCTAATTAAGCAAGAAACCAGGTTATGAAGTTAGTCTGTTAGTAAGTGATGTTACTTCTTTATTCTGCTCCAACACTCCCTAATTATATCTATTCTTTCTTTTAACCTTCACCTTTAAGGTATATAGAATTTCATAATATCACAAAGTCACAAAAATGGTACCTTGACCTTCAAATGTTACACCAAGAAACATAGTCACATTTTACCTTACACACTTGAGGTGAGTCTGACAGTAGGTAGGGATGTCTCTGTATGTTTCCCCAGTGCATCCTCCCTGTCCTTCCCCCATCCTCTTTCTACCAGGTTTGTTGTGCCTGGGAACTGTTACCTCCAAGCTTTTAGCCCTCGTCCAAAAGTTTTTGCTGCAGTACTCAATCACACCCTCCAGTTCTTCAAATGGCACAGGCAGCAACAAATGATCCTTCCTACAATATTAATTATTTAATTAAAGACTGAAGGGGCATTTTATTGTTTGCTCGGTCTGATGAGTGAAAAGTAAGAAGTGAGTTCCAGTAAAATTTGTTTGCGATTCACTTCCCTTTGTAGGGTCATGCAAGAAACCAACATGACATTTTATTGTTATGTTTATTTACCTGATGATAGCCATGAGAACTAAAAGAGATGCTGAGAAGACCATTGGATGTTGCTGTTTAAGTCCACGACTGATGATCGACAGGCAAAACTGGACCATCTTTGCATTGATGAACAAGGGAACATTGCTTGGCTGTCTAAACCAGAAAAATTAAAATTCATCAATTAAAAAACAAATACTTTTAATAATTTATGTACCACATGACCATTTTGGAGACATACATAGGTAAGAGTATGAAATACAGTTCTTCATATGTCTTACTTTGTAAGAACTATCGCCAGAATCTTGAGTCCATCTTCAAAAAGTTCATAGTGCCTCATGTCAGCTAATATCTCTATGGCCCTCAGGATAGACTCCATGCCTGAAACATCCACAAGACATTGCATTTGATATTTCTATAAAAGATAACTTAAAGGTCTTTATATGCAACAGCAAACAGAAAAAGAAAAACAATCAAACAACCTCACAGAATTTGAATGAAATGGTTGAGTCACAAACATCTTTTTTTATTTCGAAACTTTTTTAAGGTAAATGCATGTATAAGTCCAACATAATCGACAGTATAATATCTGATAGCCATGTATTAAAAAAAGAAGTATAGAACAAAAGGCTAGATTTCTGTAGATCTCAGATCAAGGTATTTAGACTACCTGTTTGCACTTACATTCAAATATTTCAAGCTGATGTATAGTAGTGTTTCAAGACCATATCCATGCTTATAAACACTATACAAAGCAAAGCTAACCACAATTAGCCAGAGATCGACCAGAAAAATGAACTTAGACCATACGAGACAATCTGACTCTCTGCCATACATACTTACCATACACAGACCATATGAGACAATCAGACTATCTCCCATACATACTTACAATACACATATCATACGAGGCAATCTGACTCTCTGCCATACATACTTACCATACACAGATCATACGAGACAATCTGACTCTCTGCCATACATGCCTACCATACACAAACCATAAGAGACAATCTGACTCTCTGCCATACATACTTACCATACACAGACCATACAAGACAATTAGACTCTCTGTCATACATACTTACCATACACAGACCATACGAGACAATCTGACTCTCTGCCATACATACTTACTATACACAGACCATACGCAACAATCTGACTCTCTGCCATACATGCTTACCATACACAGACCATACAAGACATTCTGACTCTCTGCCATACATACTTACCATACACAGACCATACGAGACAATCTGACTCTTTGCCATACATACCTAACTTACACAGACCATAAGAGACAATCAGACTCTCTGCCATGCATACTTACCATACACAGACCATACGAGACAATCAGACTCTCTGCCATACATACTTACAATACACAGATCATATGGGACAATCAGACTCTCTGCCATACATACTTACCATACACAGACCATACAAGACAATCTGACCCTCTGCCATACATACTTACCATACGAGACAATCTGACTCTCTGCCATACATACTTACCATACACAGACCATACGAGACAATCAGACTCTCTGCCATACATACTTACCATACGAGACAATCTGACTCTCTGCCATACATACTTACCATATACAGACCATACGAGACAATCAGACTCTCTGCCATACATACTTACCATACACAGACCATACGAGACAATCAGACTCTCTGCCATACATACTTACCATATGAGACAATCTGACTCTCTGCCATACATACTTACCATACACAGATCATACGAGACAATCTGACTCTCTGCCATACATGCTTACCATACACAGACCATACGAGACAATCTGACTCTCTGCCATACATACTTACCATACACAGACCATACGCAACAATCTGACTCTCTGCCATACATACTTACCATACAAGACAATTTGACTCTCTGCCATGCATACTTACCATACACAGAGTGACATTTGGTATAAAACTGTTCCAGCTGACACAGAGGCTGCAGACATTGGAAAATATGTCTGGAAAATACAATGCCAAAACAGAAATTAAGTTCTGATACACATGTATACAATAAATGTGTATCAGATAAAACAAATAAAAGTTATTTGCATACAGATCATTTTATATTTTTGTTATATCATAATTGATGGATAACATACAGTATATATAATGGGTCTGACATCCATGTTCCATTCACAATATATGTATATATATATAAACAAATTTCATTTAACACTCAGTTAATTTGATAAACTTAAGTCAAATGTAACCTAAACATTAGCTTTAGTAAATGACACAATACTACTTAAGCTTTGATTAGATATTTTACTAAGCACAAAATAACAGAGTTCTTGACCTTAATTTCAAATTCAAACTCCTGAAAAAGTAAAATTCCATCCCTTTAAACTTTCCCATCACTTGCCAATAGGAAGACATAAAGTCACTTATCAGAAGCCTCTCATTGGCTGAATCTAAAATAACAGAAGTTTTAATTAGTTAAGGATCTGACACACCTTGTCAGGCATCAATCAACAGAGAGATAACTTTTCTTCACCTGCCAATGTTTAAATCTTTATTTCTTTTACCAAATTTCACTAAATTTGTCATTTCCTATACTGAACAGAGCAGTCAGGAATGAAGGTATGATAAAGCAGAGTATTTGATATGGTGGAATTTATTAACAGTTCAACCACAGTAAAACATATCTGCCAATTAGTTTTGAACTTCCTGTGAATCTGATCTAGATGTTTTCTTTTAAACAATGATACTTTGCATATCATGGCTGAAGCAAACTTAATGTTATTCAGTATAAAGTTAGTATTTCAGTTATGAATTCAAACATAAGGTTTCATAAGGGTAATGATAATCATACCACAAGTTAGTAAAAGTAAAATCTCTGGAAATGATCTTGGCAACTAAAGTGTTCTTAAATCTTTACTGCCACTGGGATATTATTTGTCAGCATTATCTTATCCTTCAAGTTTATGCATCGCATAAAATACTGGCAAAACATCGGCGATGTAGTCTGGTTAAAACAGTGTTAGGAAATTGTTCTGGGCCAGCAGCGGTATCCTTCATTTATACAACATTTGACTCTCCATTCCAAAAGATGTCTTATATTAGATTTTGTTGAAATGTGATCAACTCTTCAGGAGGAATAGGTTTTAAAATATTTTGTGCTCTAAGAAACCCTTTTTGTGTCCAGTCTCAATAACACTCAAACAATACAAAGGGAACCATACTCTGTCTAGAAAGTGTTCCAAATACGATAACATTCAAACTAAACAATAGGTACTCTACCTGGTCTGGACAGGGTTACGAGTATGGAGATATTCATACAAAACAAAGGGTACTGTACCTGGTCTGGACAGGGTCACGGGTAAGGAGACATTCATACTAAACAATAGGTACTGTACCTGGTCCGGACAGGGTCACGAGTAAGGAGACATTCATACAAAACAAAGGGTATTGTACCTGGTCTGGACAGGGTTACAAGTATGGAGACATTCATACAAAACAAAGGGTACTGTACCTGGTCTGGACAGGGTTACGAGTATGGAGACATTCATACGAAACAAAGGATACTGTACCTGGTATGGACAGGGTTACGAGTATGGAGACATTCATACGAAACAAAGGGTACTGTACCTGGTCTGGACAGGGCTACGAATATGGAGACATTCATGTGAAACAAAGGGTACTGTACCTGGTCTGGACAGGGTCACGGGTAAGGAGACATTCATACAAAACAAAGGGTACTGTACCTGGTCTGGACAGGGTTATGAGTATGGAGATATTCATACAAAACAAAGGGTACTGTACCTGGTCCGGACAGGGTCACGAGTAAGGAGAGATTCATACAAAACAAAGGGTCCTGTACCTGTTCTGGACAGGGTTACGAGTATGGAGACATTCAAACAGGAACTCTGTAGGAAAAGGGTACTGTACCTGGTCTGGACAGGGTTACGAGTATGGAGACATTCAAACAGGAACTCTGTAGGATACAATGAAGTATAGGCATGTAGAATGATATAGGTAGCAACCATTACAAAACATCTCATATGGATCCTTATCTGGTTTTAGATAGAACATTATAAGAAAGAAGTAAATCAGTACTGTATGAAGTCTGTATCATGCAGAGCTGTAGCTGTGTTATCTCTGTGATAAGGTCATTCCTCAACAGGTTTAACTATACACACCCAATGTTAGAAACTGTATTATATGTATAAAGTTGTATTTAGTATAGTCTGAATACAAAAGGCCCAATGGGCCTGTATTGCTCACCAGTTATTCATCGCTGGTGGCAAAAATATCTCACAACTATGATCTTCAAAGTGGGCCAATTCCAAATTTATTCAAACAAATTTATTCCAACAGGTTTGATAGCACTTCATCCCAATATGCAACTAGCCAAATATCATTTTTTTTTTAATGTAATTTGGCTTCTGTGGTCTTGAAAAAGAATAAAGACAAATCATTTAGAAAACTCAATTGCCATCAACATCACTTGTGTTAAACACATTAGAACCATGCGACCTTGAAAGTTCTCTATGCCTGTATGCTACAGACCAAATATCATGACTTCTTTAACCTTTAAAGTGGGTCAAGGTCCTTCATTTGAACAAAATCCTCACCGAAGCAATACTACAAGCCACATAATATGACCGCAGACTTCCTCATTATTCAGAAGTAGCACTCCATGCTAACAATCTATTGGTCAAATATCATTAGTCTTGTTCTGGTTTTCAAACGAAGCTGTCTTGAGTATTTCAACAAATTTGACCACTATGATCCTGAATAAAGGGAAATGTCTTTTATTTTCACAAAATTTCTAGCATTCTAAGCCAGTAAGTTACTGGTAAAAAAATATACCACAGGTCCTTCAGTTCTTCTGCAGAGTTTGAGTATTTACAAAAAAAAAAGGCTCCTTTAACCTTGAATACAGGTCAAGGACATATTGTTTAACAAACTTTGAATATTATTGCTGTATATCTTTCTTTTTTTTATAAGTCATTGACCCAAGTGACTTCGAATACAATTAAAGTTCATATCTTTTGACAAACATTATAAAAATCGATGCCAGCAAGCTACCATCTTCGCTGGCCAAGTGTTCGCTTCGTATACACCCCATTTACCATTGGCGGATATAGCCGTGTTTTCATAATTCCCTCCACTGTCACCTAGCAGATATACCAAGTTATCGCCCATCTCCCAAAAACTTTTAACCAATCAGAATGACTGTTACATTCACACTCCATCGGCATGTTGACATAAGCATGTGTATGTCGAGGTGGAGTATAATTGACAGAGCAATATGGAAACAATCCAAAGGCAGCATACATATTTCCCCAGGTCATCATTTACATGTGGCATGTAGTCAAGGATTTCCACCAACTGATTTAACACTCCAGAAGTTTCCCCAAAGATTGTGCGCCTATTTTTTTGGGGAAAAACACGCTGACATAAACGACAACGTGCTTCCGTACAGGGCGTCGCCATTAATGTTTTCCTTCGTCATCAGCATTATATGTAAGACGCAATTTCATTGGATGCGAGCGATTGACACCGCAGGAAAATTTGAAGGCTCGGTAAACACGGCTATATACGCCAAGGGTAAGTGGAGTGTATACGAAGTGAACACTTGGCTAGGGAAGATGGCAAGCTACTGGCCAAGCATCATGACCCTATAACTTACAAAAGTTTAACTTCATAACAAAGTTATGACCTTTGATATATGAAGCCTATGCCAGCAAGTTTAAAATGGCAAAATATCATGACAATATGCCAAACTTCTTCAGAAGAAGTCCTAGCAAGAAAATAATAATGGATAAGTGACCTGATGACAGATGCAACACTATTCATAAGTTCATAGGCACTTTGGGCCAGGTAAGCTTATAATGTGAAATCCTTGAAGATTTGCAATGCTTTAGAATGTCTCACTGGTATAAGGTGTGATGAGGGGGTACCCACTGCAAGTCTGTAACGATTAAATCCACATATCAAACTAATGAACATTCCATCTTGGAAATGGTGCTAAAGGCGATAGATAAATCTGAATAAATACACTGAATCAAACACAACACAATCTTGGGAAGAGATTTTCTTTATGCCGCTATGCTAGAAGACTTCTTTAATTATCTCACACTTGGAAAGAGTTGAGAAGAGTTTGTGTCTGTTCACATCCATCATCATTAAGACACTGATCCAACATTGGAATGATGTGGCATCCATCTGTGAGAAATCAGGATATCCTTATATCATTAACATCTTTTCACATTTTGTTATCTATAATGTAAGTAGGTCAGGCGGGGGATGGTAGAGGTGTAATAAAAAGAGTGAATTTAAGGTAACCTTGACAACAGGCACTCACCTATCCGGTCTGACTGCAGGATGACCACAGTATAATTTGAGGGGTAACCTTCAGATAACCTTGACAACAGGCACTCACTCACCTATGAGGTCTGACTGCAGGATGACCACAGTATAATTTGAGGGGTGACCTTCAGATAACCTTGACAACAGGCACTCACCTATCCGGTCTGACTGCAGGATGACCACAGTATAATTTGATAATTGACCTTAAGATAACCTTGACAACAGGCACTCACCCATGAGGTCTGACTGCAGGATGACCACAGTATAATTTGATAATTGACCTTAAGATAACCTTGACAACAGGCACTCACCCATGAGGTCTGACTGCAGGATGACCACAGTATAATTTGATAATTGACCTTAAGATAACCTTGACAACAGGCACTCACCCATGAGGTCTGACTGCAGGATGACCACAGTATAATTTGATAATTGACCTTAAGATAACCTTGACAACAGGCACTCACCCATGAGGTCTGACTGCAGGATGACCACAGTATAATTTGATAATTGACCTTAAGATAACCTTGACAACAGGCACTCACCCATGAGGTCTGACTGCAGGATGACCACAGTATAATTTGAGGAGTGACCTTCGGGAACCTGCAAGATGCCAGACAGAATCTGGATAGAGGATATTTGCTGGACTTCCTTCTTGCTCACCAACAACTTTTTGAGGATTGACAGAAGTGTGACACCTTCCAAGTTCAGCTTCATCAATAGTTCTACACTGTCTCCATTGGTTACCAGCTTTTTCAGCAAACCTAGAAAGGGGGCAAACATATGACAGTGTACTCTTACAGACAAGTTTCCAGCTATTAGCAAGTTTGAAGTAAAACACAAGTCCCATCAAGAGGGCTTTAATGCATGGGTAAGACAATAATGCATACCAGAACACTATTAACATACCAGATTCTGATTGGCATATTAATATTGTCCATAATACATATGTTTTAGCGCTACTACTCTTCTATTTATGGCCTACCTAGGTGTTAGGACTGTATAAATTAAGTCAACATCTACAAATCATGTCAGATGGTGCTGTCTTCGGCTCACCTCTATGTTTTAACAAGAGGCCCAGAGGGCCTGTATCGCTCACCTGAATATTTAGCAGTCATAGCAAAATATTCTTATTAAATACTATACTGTACTACAAATATTTCACTAGCAAACTTTGTCGGCTCCAACTGTTCAAACTACCAGCCAAATATTATCATGATTCTATGCTTTTTGGTTCTTCTTCAGAAGTTGTTTGACATATATTTCCCTGTGACCTTGTAAGTAGGTCAAGGTAATTTTCCTTCTCAAACTTTGGCTCTATCCCAGGAAGCAACCAGGCAAATATGAAGATTCTATACCTTTCAGTCCTTCAGAAGAAGTTGTTTGAAGTGTTTGACACATTTGACCCCTGTGACCTTGAAAGTAGGTCAAGGTCATTATCATTCTAAAACTTTGTCAGGCTCTATCCCAGAAAGTAACCAGCCAAACATGAAGATTCTATACCTTTTAGTTCTTCAGAAGAAGTCGTTTGAAGCGTTTGACATATTTGACCACTGTGACCTTGAAACTAGGTCAAGGTCATTTTCATTCTCAAACTATGTGAGGCTTCATCCTAGAATGCCACCAACTAAATATGAAGGTTCTATACCTTCCAGTTCTTCAGAAAAAGTCATTTGAAGTGTTTGACATATTTGACCCTGTGACCTTGAAATATCAGCCAAATATCATGCTTCTGGGCCTTTTGGTTAATCAGAAATACAGGCAGTCTTTTATTAAAATTTGTCGGGCTTCATCCTACCAGCCAAATATCACGCTTCTGGGCATTTCAGTTAATCAAAAGAAGGCCATTGAGAAGAAGTTGTTTAAATGGAAAAGTTGACGCCGGACGATGGACGCCGGACGATGGACGCCACGGCTTAAGCTCTCATGGCTCTTCAGACCAGTTGAGCTAAAAACAACCAGTAACAAGAGGCCCAAGGGCCTTAGCGGTCACCCGATTTATATTATAGGTACTGGAAGCTCAATTTCATTGTGGAGATGTGATGTGGAAATCAACATGTAAACAAAGTGAAATACAATACCTGTCATGTCACCAAAGGACAAGAACTTTAAAAACTATTCAAATAAATTATTTTGCTAATGAGAATTATACCCTCTATCCAAGGGAGAGCAGATGACCTGGGGGTATAATGAAATTTACAATTTAGGTAACGGTAATTTAGGTAAGGACCTTTCTATCTATGAAAGGTAAAACATCTGAGTCTGATGAAGAAGATTTTTTAACTTTTAACTATAATCCCCATTTGGGCCCCACCCCTCTAGCCCCTGGGGGTGGGACAGGATCTTATTTTCTCATATCATCTAATTGCTATCTGGCATCATTATCATTCCAACCAAGTTTGAATAATTTCCTGCTGAAAATGGAAAAAATATACCCAAAAGTGTTATTTTCATATATAAACTAAAGTCAACTTTACCCACTCCCCAAAGGAAAACCGATGGCCCAGGGGTAATAAAATTGAAAAATAGATCAAGCCCCTGACAGAATTTTCATCCATGCACAGAATTTGATTGTACTACATCTGAGACTGAAGAATAAGATTTCTGAAATATTGGTTAATTTTCCCTTTGGGGCCCTGCCCTGGCCCCTGGGGTTGGGGCAGGAATCCCGATTTAACAATTTGATAACATCTTCCTCCAAGGATGATTCTCACCAAGTAAGAATAATACCTACTGAAAACGAACAAAACATACCCAAAGGTTTTATTTCCCTTTATAAACTGAAGTAAACTTTACCCCCTTCCCAAAGAAGAACGGATGGCCCTGGGGTACTGAAATTTACAATTTAAATAAAGCCTCTGATGATCTTTCCATCCATACAGAGACATTGACTGTAGTACCTCTGAGTCTGGAGAAAAAGATTTTTTGAAATATTGGTTAATTTTCCCTTTGGGGCCCCGCCCTGGCCCCTAGGGTAGGGGTAGGTATCCCAATTTTACAATTTTGTAGCCTAATCTACCAAGGATGATTCTGACCGAGTTTGAAAGAATTCCATCCACTAGTTCATGAAACGAAGTCGAAAATGTAAAAAGTTTTCACACTATGCACGACGGACGATGCGCGACGACGGACGGAAAGCGATCAGAATAGGACATTTGAGCAAAGCTCAGGTGACCTAAAAATCATAACCCACAATACTGAAATTTAAATTTGATTTTCAATACAACATTGGATATTGTAATGTGTAGCATGGACAGCATCATGATATCAAAGACATATACCTTTATATTGAAACCTTACTAAATTGTTAAACATATTTTTTTTATTTTTTTTATTAATTTAGAAACACATGAATAAAGAACTTTGAGACTAAAAGAATGGGTGTTTTCAACTTTTGAAAGTGATATGATTTAAACAGGCCGTATATTATCTTCCATGCTTGTTTCATTCAAACGGACACCTACAGTTAGTTAGATTCATGAAATAGGGTGACTCGGTACATATACTATTAGAAAGCCTCAGAAGCTTAAGTCAGTCGGATGTTTTTCATTTTTGCTTCAGCTTAATACTGGTACAGTAAGCTGGATGTCGGTATTGTTGAGGCTAATCACTGGTACATATGGTGTAAAATTGGAATGTAAGTACCAGGGAATATCTGCTAACAGCTGGTATCTGCCAAATTGTGTATGGAGTCTTAGATTTGGAAACATTTAGGTCAGTTTAATATGATAAATTAGTATGTTTACACATCTTAGATTTGCACAAGTGGAAGTGACCTGACTGTGTAAGAGTGGAGGTGACCTGTCTGTGTAAGAGTGGAAGTGACCTGGCTGTGTAAGAGTGGAGGTGACCTGTTTGTGTAAGGGTGCAGGGGACCTGTCTGTGTAAGAGTAGAAGTGACCTGTCTGTGTAAGAGTGGAAGTGACCTGTCGGTGTAAGAGTGGAAGTGACCTGTCTGTGTAAGAGGGGAAGTGACCTGTCTGTGTAAGGGTGGAAGTGACCTGTTCGTGTAAGAGTGGAAGTGACCTGTTCGTGTAAGAGTGGAAGTGACCTGTTCGTGTAAGAGTGGAAGTGACCTGTTTGTGTAAGAGTGGAAGTGTCTTGTCTGTGTAAGAGTGGAAGTGTCCTGTCTGTGTAAGAGTGGAAGTGACCTGTCTGTGTTAGAGTGGAAGTGACATGTCTGTGTAAGAGTGGAAGTGACCTGTCTGTGTAAGGGCGCAGGTGACCTGTCTGTGTAAGAGTGGAGGTGACCTGTCTTTGTAAGAGTGGAGGTGACCTGTTTGTGTAAGGGTGCAGGTGACCTGTCTGTGTAAGAGTAGAAGAGACCTGTTTGTGTAAGAGTGGAAGTGACCTGTCTGTGTAAGAGTTGAAGTGACCTGTCTGTGTAAGAGTGGAAGTGTCCTGTCTGTGTAAGAGTGGAAGTGACCTGTCTGTGTTAGAGTGGAAGTGACCTGTCTGTGTAAGAGTGGAGGTGACCTGTCTTTGTAAGAGTGGAGGTGACCTGTTTGTGTAAGGGTGCAGGTGACCTGTCTGTGTAAGAGTAGAAGTGACCTGTCTGTGTAAGAGTGGAAGTGACCTGACTGTGTAAGGGGGCAGGTGACCTGTGTGTGTAAGAGTGGAGGTGACCTGTCTGTGTAAGAGTGGAGGTGACCTGTTTGTGTAAGGGTGCAGGGGACCTGTCTGTGTAAGAGTAGAAGTGACCTGTCTGTGTAAGAGTGGAAGTGACCTGACTGTGTAAGGGTGCAGGTGACCTGTGTGTGTAAGAGTGGAGGTGACCTGTCTGTGTAAGAGTGGAGGTGACCTGTCTGTGTAAGAGTGGAGGTGACCTGTCTGTGTAAGAGTGGAAGGGACCTGTCTGTGTAAGGGTGGAAGTGACCTTCTGTGTAAGAGTGGAAGTGACCTGACTGTGTAAGAGTGGAAGTGACCTGTCTGTGTAAGAGGGGAAGTGACCTGTCTGTGTAAGAGTGGAGGTGACCTGTCTTTGTAAGAGTGGAGGTGACCTGTTTGTGTAAGGGTGCAGGGGACCTGTCTGTGTAAGAGTAGAAGTGACCTGTCTGTGTAAGAGGGGAAGTGACCTGTCTGTGTAAGAGTGGAGGTGACCTGTTTGTGTAAGGGTGCAGGTGACCTGTCTGTGTAAGAGTAGAAGTGACCTGTCTGTGTAAGAGGGGAAGTGACCTGTCTGTGTAAGAGTGGAGGGGACCTGTCTGTGTAAGAGTGGAGGTGACCTGTCTGTGTAAGAGTGGAAGTGACATGTCTGTGTAAGAGTGGAAGTGACCTGTCTGTGTAAGAGTGAAAGTGACCTGTCTGTGTTAGAGTGGAAGTGACCTGTCTGTGTAAGAGTGGAAGTGACCTGACTGTGTAAGAGTGGAAGTGACCTGACTGTGTAAGGGTGCAGGTGACCTGTNAAGTGGAAGTGACATGTCTGTGTAAGAGTGGAAGTGACCTGTCTGAACAGTTCAAGAGCCTCTTCTGAGTTAGGATTGGGTGGAAGTGACCGACTTAAAAGTTCCACTTGAGTCTGATATTTGTGAAAATAAATCTAAAGTACAAAGTTACAATTTGGATGTATATATATAAATGTACCTTCTAATGAAAAACAGGCAGGTATCACTTGAAGTCATCAATACTGTTTACCTGAGAATTTTTTGCTGCAGTTGAATTTTCACCTGTTTTACCCGTCGTAAGCAGGGCAAATTTACCACAACAGTGAACATTACTAAACAACATCCTATGCATAGTAATTTGAAGGGCACAATTAGCGAAA